AAGTGAGCGTGGGCCCCGCGGGTTATACCACACGGGGCTACCAAAGGTGAGAACGGGAAGGATGGTGGTAAGGTATAGCAAACGGGCTTGCGCGACCGTCATGCCTCGCTGTGTGTTGGCGAGCATGCGAAAAGCGGCAACGCGGGACGAAGCCCTGGCTGCCATGACTCGAATGTGGTGGGTGAAGGTTAGGCGTCGGTCATACCAGATGCCGAGCCAGCGCAAATATGAAGCAGGTTGAATGGTGGTATCCCGCCCGTCCCACTGAACCCGCAGGGGGGGGGGTTGACGTCAAGGGAGCGTCTCAGGGAGGTAAAGTGTATAAGCTCAGTTTTCGCCATGCCAATGGTCAGCCCAAGCTGGTGAAGCGTGGTGCCCACACTAGGTAGAGTGCGTTGGATGATGGCAGTGTTCTCGTTCAGTGAGGGAGAAACAATGAGGAGGGCAAAATCGTCTACGTAGCCCACCGTAGACTGCTGGGGGTGCGCGAACGGATCAAGGTTCGCATACAGCGGGGAAGAGTATATAGTAGAAAGGACTGGCAGCAGAGGCGATCCCTGTGGGATGCCGAGCGCAGCGACGTGGTAAGATGGACCCAGCTCAGAATTTAGCTTGGGCTGCACGGTGCGCGAGGAAAGGAATGACATGGTCCAAAGGACCTCGTTTGTGGGAAAGCCCAAAGAAAGGAGAGCAGAGTGAAGGACGTCGTGGCGAATGTTATTGTAATAGCCTTCGACGTCCATACACAGTAAGGTAGCAGAGAAACCGTTTTCCCACGCGGTGCGTACACGGTGCATCAGAGTGACTCCCGCATCCACGACGGAGTGTTGGCCCCACCCACCAAACTGCGAGCCGGGCACAAGATTGTGAGCACCGATTTGAAAGTTGAAACGGGCAGCAACCACTTTTTCCAGGATCTTGCTCATGGTTTCCAAGAGCGCTATTGGTCGGTGGGACTTGGGTGCAGTGTAATCCGCCTTGCCCGGTTTGGGCAGGTACACAACCGCCGCAGCCCGAAGTGGGGCGGGGAGGTAACCCAGGCGCAAAGAAGAGGATAGAAAAAGAAAAACAGCATGATGCGCACCAGACCGCCAGACCCATTTTAGGAGCTGCCATGACACTCCGGAGATGCCAGGTGCTGAATAGTTAGATGCAGCCTCGATGGCGGCAGTTACTTCAGTGATAAGGAGGGGGCGGTCTGGGCGCGCTGCCGGAGGCGTAGAGGTAAAGAGAGGAGGCAGATCAGGCAAGGGCGGAGACGCCGGAAAATAGAAACGTGTGAGTAGACGACTCGTGTCGGCAGGGAGAGAGCCAGTCTCCCCGTCCGAGCGGATGACAGGTAGTGGGGGTGCCCGCACTCCTTTGGTCCAGGAGGCGAGCCGCCAGGGGTTGGTGTGCTGGAGTCGCGTGACCGCCTCCCGAGTCCAGTCCTTCCGAGCTTGTCGGATGACGGCCGAGAGTGTGACTTTGGCTTCTCGCCTTTCCTCACGAGTATGAGCTGCCTGGACATCTGCGCGGGCAGTGTCGCATGCATCATTCCACCAGAGCTGGGAGGCCCGGTGAGCATGTGTGCGTCGGGGGAACACTTCGTGGCAGGCCACGGACATTGCTCACAGCAGAGCCTGAGCGCCCGCTTCGAGGTCGTCATTGGTGGTATAGGTGGCTGGTGGTGGGGACAGCGCCAGCTCGCGGGCAAGGCACGTGTTCCATTCGTCCCGTTTGGACACGTCGACTCGAAAGCCAAGGTCAACGTCTACGGGGTGAGCAATGTGAAAGAGAGTAGAGGTTAGTAGAGCGTGATCAGATTCGAAGGATGTGGGAGTAGCAGCGACTCCGTGAACGTGAAAGTGCGCACTGGAGGTCGCGCAGACCAGATCGATGATGGTGCCCGAGAGCAGGTCACCATTCACCATGTGGGTGGGTTGATCGAGGTCATTAAGAATTTCGAGCAACTCACGCTCGAGCCACCCAGCGAAAGCGGTGGAGGCAGTGGAAGCAGAGCGGGAGGCCCATCCGGTCCATGACCATAGGGGGTGGTGGAGATTAAAATCTCTGGTGACAAGGAGGTTCGCTCGTGGCGGGAAAGGGATATCATAGAGAGTGGGCAGAACGCGGTGTTGGGCTCGCGAGCCTTCGTTATAGCAATTGACCACGAAGAAATCATGGGTGGGATCAGAGCGTGAAACAAAATGAAGGACGACCACATCCGGGTCCGACACCAGGTCGGTACGCATGGATATGTGATAAGTATTTAAAAGCATGCAAAAGCATGCGCCGGACCAGGATGCTGGCTCGAGGTCGTGGCAGCGCAGAGGTGGAGGGGAAATGATAGGCGTCCAGGCCATAGGGCCGGACATTGACGTGACCAAAAACAGTAGTGCCTGACTCAGAGCCATGGGGGGTATCGATGCCGATTTGCCCCCACCACGGTTCTTGAAGAAAATAGATATCGTATGAAGTGGAAGAAACGAAGCCGTGGACGCGCGGATTGGACCGGGCCACATTCAAATGAGCGGTTGTGATATTCATGATGAGGGGTTGGAGCGCGAGATGGGAATGCGGTAATCTTTCCGTGCAGGGCAAGTGGTGTCAGCGGCACTGTGACCGTTGGTGCCACAGACCACACAGAAATAGTGGTTAGACTCGCAAGGCTGGTCTGCCGGGCGAGCCTCATGATTGCAGACAAGGCATGCCTGCCGATGCATATCGGACGTGTGGTCAGTCTTTCCACAGAAGCGGCACACAGGCGCCCGCTTCTTGCAGTGACTTTCGAGATGCGTGAGGCGCCAGCAACGAGTGCACTGACGGAAAACGGGACGATCTTTTGACTTCTTTACAGTGATGCGGGAGCCATAGAACCAAAGGAAAGCGGCAGCATCACCGCGGTTGTCATGTCCAAGGAGGTTACGCGCACAGTAGTCGCGATGGGCATCCTCAATGGAGACGATAATAGAGGACTTCCCGAGCTGCTCGCGATGTTCCTTAGGTACAACGAAACCGGGTAGACCATTGAAGTGAACAGACGAAAACATAGCATTACGGCGTAGTTCCGCCATGATTTCCTCCTCAGTGAGTAACAATCCCGTGTCGGGATGACGCAGCGGGCAGCTCGGGATGAACAGTTTCGTAACAGGAACGAGAGGGCGGAAGTCCTGCGGCGCGGATGCACGCTCACGCAGGTCTGGCGCAGGGGAGGCAGCACGCGGGACGACTCCCAACATGTGACGTATGGGCCGGAGACACTCGCGTATGAGCGAGTCGGGGGAATCGTGCGAGAAAACCGCTTGGACCTTGGTTGGTCCAGCGAAGCGGAGACCGAGAAAACGTACCTTGGCCCACGCGGGGGTCTCGCGCAGGCGTGTATGGACCTTAGCATACCATTGGGGCATGGTACCCCCTGCCTCGATGGCGGCATGCTGCTCGGGGGTAATGAGAAGGACGTAGCACTTCTCGCGGTTCTTGGCGGCCGCCTGTGCCATGGTTGGGGCATTCGGGGCCTGCGTCTCAGGCTGCGTCGTAGGCTGCGCTGCAGGGGCAGCAGCACTGGAGTTGGCGGCGGGGGCACGTTGACGACCGGTACGGACCGGCGGTTGGGGTCGCGGTCCCTCGGGGGCATTGGGAGGGTGTGGCAGCGGACGCCCGCGTACTAGCTGGGCCTCGATAGCCGACAGCCGCGTGTTGATGGCTGACGTGGCCATTCGAACGCCGTCCTCGACAGCCTTAGTCAGGGCAGCCTGCACGTCGATGCCGACAGGGAGGGCGCCTTCCGTGCGCGGTCGGGTGCGCGGAGCCTCGTCCATGAGTGCGTCGTCGTCGAGGAGGACGGCTGCGCTGGCGAGCTGCTGATGGAAGAGAGCCTGGTAGAGGTGCATGATCCGGGCACCAGCCCCGGTGTCGATGATGAGGGAGTCGCGCATGAGAGCGTTGTGGAAGTCGCGAAGGCAGGTAGTGAGCGCGACAGCGCAGTTCTCGAACTCGTCGGAGTATGCCTCGGCCTCGTAGGGGCCGTCGATAACGCGCTGCACGCCGACAGCAAGGTCGCTCATATTGTTGCGCAGAGACCTAATGGTGTCGCGCATAGCATTGTGGACCTGCGGGCGCGGGGGCGTCGGCGCTGGGGCCGACGTCGTCGCGCTCGCTGGCGGTGGAGACCCTCCCGGAGGAGTTCGCTCTACACCTATGCCCTCCATGTTCGATTCGCTGGCAGTCGCCTGTTGGGCGCTTATAGCGGACATGGTGGTACGGGAAAGAGAAGGATGTTGAGCATTACGAACGGATATCTTCAGCGTGTTTCGGTCAGGACAGCCGTGAGCGGTACAGATCGAGCACTCGTTCTCCTGCAGCATGCCACTCAGATATAAATGTGCTGGCTCCTTCGAGGTTTCTTTCGATGAGACTTCTGGCCCGCCGCTTATTCGATCATCACCTTTGCTCACCTTGTGGCAGCCAATGCGGAGGGTCAACGCATCATCATCACCAGGCACGCGCCGCATCTATGCCTTTGAAATATCGCTAACATGATCAGATCAATTCTCGCAGAAGCGAATTCGACCTTCTCCGGATCAGATACGACGGTCAACTTTGCGAGACACATTTTGTCTGGACATGTACATGCGGTCTTGGCCGACTGTCCTCATCAGAACAGGCACGAACCCCATGAACCCGTTCCAAGAAGCGCACGACCACTGCCAGGACGAAGCACTCATCCGGACATGGTATGTCCCACACGAGCAAACTCCATGTCACGAAGCGAATCGCATGGACGTACCTTCTGGAAGTCACCATCTGAACGTCCCTCGCTCGTCGTTAATGCCGTTCCCCCAGCAGACGCGCATCACAGACCTGCCCGAGCTCTTGTGCAGACACCAAGCTCGCGGGCCACCCTCGCATGGTCAGCTTCGCACAACACTCGCTCGCTGCTCACTTTTGTGAATATAAGGATCAGACCGGTCCACCCTCGCGGCCTCGCCGCACATCAGTGGTGACAGGCGGCCAGGCGCACTGGATAGATGAAGAGATATATTGAAAGAATCGAGAGGAGTTGAGAGCGGATACAATGGAATTCGTAGACAAAATTGGGTCGTACGAACCGGCGATACGCTGCATGCCGCACCATGCACGCAGAGCCTCGAGCGGTCGAGCAACGGGACGACACCGCCCGATGCGGAACGCTTGAGGCCAGTGAAGCTTGAAGATAAAACTCAGTAGCGAGACGCACTCCCCACCGAACAGAAATATCAATCAACAGCCTGCTAGCTACTAACCGACTGGGTGATTGGGTCGTGGTCATTTATGTGAGAATGGTGGGATGGCGCAGTTGCGATGGGCCGCTGCTCTCGTAATCGAGCTTGCCACGGACGCACAGACAGGCGGAATTGTGCATTGGAGTTGAGCGAGAATATCATGCGAGCGGAGGGCTGTGTACAGACAGAAAGTGCAGGGGACATAGCGTACGATGGGTGTAGGATCGGTTGCGCCGTCTCGCGAGCCACAGTGCACAGGCCGCGCGACGCCACACTATGCCCCTGCCACCTCAACGGTCCTCGTACTAGAGCACTGTCGTCGTAAATTCGACTTTATCGGCAATGTCACGTCAGGAAAGTGGTGAAAAAACACTTTCACTTTCACTCGAAGAATTGACTATATCGGACTTGATCAAGATACTGTCTTCCAAGTTCAAACAAAGTGACGCTTGCGAACGGTGCGTCCCTGCCCGCCTTGACTGTATCATTATTCATACCAATCTTGACCTCATTGACTTCAGCATACTTCATGTCAGTAACGTTTGCTTCCAATCTAGCTCAACAGACAGACTGATATAACAGCATATAGCTTAAGGATCTTGAGGGGCTAGTTCAAGTTGGGCGGCGCGACCTAAATGTCGGCGTTGCGATCAACCGTCTTCCTGCCGAAGTGCTCCGGGAGATATTCGTGACAACCTGCACCGTCAAGCTAGCTCGATACAGACATCACATCATGACCGTCTGGAGCCCAACTTGGATTGACAAGGGCAGAGCAACCAGTCTCATGCTTGTCTGCTGTCGTTGGAAAGAGATCGCCTTGGGGATCCGGGAGCTCTGGAATGGCATTGAGACATATCGGAAACATGAAGATCATACCTTGCTGGAGAGGTCTGGCCGAGGCCCGCTCAAAGTGTTGGCTTGCGGCAAATTGGAACCCTCTTGTGCTGTTGCGCATGCTCTCCAAAATGTGGAGCATTCATCCCGAATCCAAGAGTTGTACTGGGAACGGCCCTTATCATGTGAGGACCTTCGAATGCCAGCACCCTCGCTGAAGTCTCTTGCACTGCAAGATGACCGCAGTGACAGTGTGCCAGACGGATCCCTCAAACTCTTCGACAACCACACCCCATGTCTGGAGCGCCTGTCACTGTCATATGTGCAATGGCTGCCCAGCAATGCGTTCGCCAAACTGACGTTCTTGGCTCTCGACCATTGCAATATACCGAAAGCTCCCATCAAGCTACGCAACTTGCTTGTTGGAACACCAAACCTAGTCGATCTCATCCTGCGAAGTGTACCCGACTCCAGCTACCCGCACGTTCAAGTGGATTTTGAGGCTGCAGGCATGAAGCCTGTGATGCTCACACGGTTGCGCCGTTTACTGATCGGGGATATGTGGGCCGATGACATCGATTATGTCTTCCGGGACGCTCGCCTAAACGAAACCTGTCCGTCTCGATCAAAGATATGATAAGGAGCAGGAGCGATGAGCAGCGATTTTTGGAAGTGGTATCCAGTTGGTCGTTGAATGCCTTGAAGCAACCCAAACAACTGCATTTCCAGCCGCAGGTCGCCATCGTCACTGGAGCCTCTTCTGGTCTCCGTTATGAGGTCAGGAGAAACATGACCCTCGAGGATTGGACCACATTCAACTGGCCACAGATTCTTCCCCTTTCCAGCGTCTCGCACTTGTGCACGTTCGCGTGCAAGGGGCCCGGTCTTGAACGTGTCCGCAGCCTTCTTAGGCAGATGACCACTCTTCAGACACTGTCCGTCGACATTGATGGCCTGACGAAGATCATCAACACATTAACACTCTTCCGAGACCCGATCGACCCGCCTCTGTGTCCCACACTGATGACGCTACGTATCGTCATCCCGAAATATAGTGATAGTGATTATGACATCATCCTGGACTCGATCCTCCCGCAGCTTGGCATCAAACACCTTTATCTCGGGCTGATCGATCCTTCGGATGGACGCTGGAGAGGCTGGAGAGCTGTGAAAGATCAGCTGCATGGCAACTTCGAGTCGGTGAAATTTGAGACACTGTGTTGCAATAAGGCATACGACACTAATTTGCCGCTGATTTGTGTTGAGATGGCACATGCTTTGTGGTCGCCCTGGTACTTGCATTGGCACTATTGACATAACTCACACAGAAAGATTACTCTCATGATCGTCCCTTTGCTCTGTGTTTCAATTGTTCTGACGAATGATGTTATGCAGACAATGCTCGTCGTGTTGCGCACCGTAGCAATATTATCTCACCGGCTATTCTCAGATATAATGAGCGTACGAGGAGAAAGTTTAATGACGACATGGATTGCGATGCTAATGCTATACTAGTAGAGTGACTGATCCCGAACCAGTCAGGTGTCTCAGACATAACATCATCTCTTATGCACGCGCATGCGCTGTTGTAGGTTGTCCTGTCTGTTGAAGGTCTTCTCACAGTCCGAATACGGACTTTGATATGCTACATAGAAGTGATGGCCTGCGATGTGTACGATGGGACAGACGTACGATTCTCGAGGGTGTGAATACTTCTGATGTGACTCTTGAGAAGTTGAGGTCCTCGCCTCTTTTGGAGAACTTGCCGCAAACACCATATTTGTAGTCTCGTACTCGCTGCGAACGTTTTATACAAGACATCAGTCCCAACCCTCTCAATGGATACTAGATAATAATGGTTCCGTACCCGTGGCACTCCATTCTTCGAGACGACCACAGAAGAGATAGGCACGCGGCGGCCTCTCCTCTTATTCGTCAGGTTGGATCCGGCGTGGGTATCGTGAAGCGGTGCGATGAGGACGAGGCGGGCGAGACTGTCCGCGTCTTACTGCGAGGGCACACGGAGGAGCTGCTAGGCACGAACTCATCATCGCCACTCGTATCACCATTCGCCATGTCGGAGTCGCGTCCTTGTACGATTCGTCACTGTCGACCTGATGGTCCGAGTCCCCTGCGGAGGAGGAGCTCGTATAACCTGTGTGGCGCCTTCGCATTTCTCTTCTGAGAACCACTGTTCGTGGAACCGGTTTCGGCTTGTAGCTCTTCATGCACCTCAGCGGGTGTTCCTTCACGGACCGGTTGATTACCGCTGAGCAGACTCATTTTGAGAGCGGCTGAAGCAGGAGGGTCATTAACGAGCAGGTTAGGATCTATACCGCCAGAGACGTCGGCCTGTGGCAATGCTGCCGTGGGGGTAGTATTGCGGGGGAAAGCTGTTTGTGGTCGATAAATTGCGGGAGAGTTTCAGGCTCGGTCACCTGGCGGCTGCAAAAATGTTCCCGCAAAAGTCGGAAACACATATGGCGACGAGGCGATCATTGATTTTCCAGGTGGATGGGATACAGCAATGGTTTTGTGTTGTACAATGTTCGTGCAAATGAGGTCGTTTCATTGTGAATGTTGACTTGTGTATGCGATAGAAAGAACCCCCGAGATTTCAATGATACCAGGGAAGTTATGATCTCGCAAACGCGCCAAGCCCTGCTCCATTGACTCGAGCCGGGATGGATGGGCCACCCGCTTCGAAATGACGATTCAAAATGTCGATACTTCTTTGCATGTTTACGATCTCTCCGAAGTCCATATGTCAGTCGGAGCTTTTTACTCACCTTGAAATCTATGAGCTGATCTCGTGGTTGGAGTGGGATAGTAGCTCAGATCTACAGACTGCTCGATAGATTCCCCACGTTGTCTTTCATGCTCCATGAATATTTTTGTAGGTTTTCGGCAGGCCTCGAGCAGCGGATGTGTTCGCTCGGAAATTAATATTGGTATCCGACAAGCAATCCATGATCGATGAGTCATTCAAGTTGCGAAGTCCAACAGTGGCTTTGCGTTCGATCTGCGAAGGTCTACTTGACTTCGTGAGGGGTCAGCCAACTGTCAAAAGTTTTCAAGGAGTTTATAACCGCGCCTTTTCCTGAAGAAGAGGTCGTGTTCCTGATGGTATTCTTGCTCCTCTTCGTTCCCTAGAAACAGACATCCTGCCTTGACCATTCATCATGCAACGCGGATCACCCACCTCAACATCATAATCTCGCATGCTAACATATCGATCGCACCTAATAGGCGGTCAACTCGTTACTTTTGTGCAAAGCAGAGACGTGTCAATCGAGCTGACCGGGTTAATGGCCAACGAGGAGCAACTCTTGAATGTGGCGTTCTATCTAGTTCTGTGGCCTATGAGCCTGAAATACGAATAGATTGTGCATTGGATTTACAGTGGTGCTGACAAGGAGACAGCATAAGGAGGACATACCAAACAACCATACGAGCGATCCGCAATCATCAATCATAGCTTGTCCTGACGATAGACACGGCTTTCTCAGAGAGCATCCCTATAGCGTCAGACCTTCGCGCGTTATCCCGATAAGACACAAAAAGTGGATGAACCGACAGGCAGAGTACCGTCACTTGGCAGGTTTTCCGCCAGCTGCTGGACTACGCATTGATCATGAAGTAAATGAAGCGACCCCTGATGCGTCCGTAGCAGCTTTGCCGCCCGGTTTAAGGCCAAATTGGTGAAGTCGTTGATTTCATGGTGGCTAAGCTGAGCGCTGAAGCGTTGATGTTGAAACTCGAAGTACTATCGCGCATTCGAATAAAACTACACAGCGTGGATAAGAATAAAGCATGCATAGAGAGCAGATGCGTGCATACATCTCTTTGCGACTAGAAATACAAACTAGGACGACACGCGAGCAGGCGTGAGCGAACCCCGCGCCCACGGCGCGACGCACGCAGGGGTTCCGCGAAGCACCAACACCTTCTCCTTCGTAAGGCGCACAGGTATGCTCGACAATCGCGGCAGATTCTCCTCCACAACCACGACACTAGGTGCCTCCGTCGGGAAAGGGGCAAACTCCGGACTGGGTGCACGGCTGCGCCTGAGGACAGGACGATTATCGAAATCGTCGCTGTCTGGGTCTGCGTCCACGTCTGGAATCAAGCCCGCATCTTCGTCGTCGGAGTGTTCGGACGGCTCCCATTCCATAAAGGAGTCGTCGTCGTCGTGAATACTGGCGGATGGCGAATGCGTGAGCGCCGGTTCAGAGTCGGGCTCTTCGAAAGAGTCTGCAGTGTCTCTGTAGCGATACGCAGACGTGGGATGGGGCGATGCAGAAGATGCCTCGGAGTCTGAGGGAGTAGACGATTCTGCCCGCGCATCCTGCGCAGACCAATAATCGATCGCCTCTTTCTCCACCGCAGAGCGTACGGCATGGATACCATAAAGGTTGATTCTGCTCAGCGCACATGCATGCAATCAGCTACGAGAGGCAGCATTGCGCGGTGGACGTATGTATGCACGTACATCATCTCCACTCGACTTTCGCATACCTTCTTCCAGAGTCTCGTCGGGCGACGGAATGGGCTCAACTCCGAGCGGTCCGCTTCATCCTCCGATTCGAAAGCGACCGCGGTGGATGAAGCCTTCATTTCAGATCGAACAGAAGCTTCAGGGTCTCGTTCCTCCAGATCGACTGTAATGAGCGCAGCCGAGGGATCAGCTTCGTCTGCTGTGCCATCTGAGCTTGTGCCAATCTCTATCAATCGCAGCACTTCGGAATGACCACCGCGCTTGTCGACCATCAGAGATCGGTAGGGATCATCTCTGTGCTCTATTGGCTCTGAAAAGCAACTCAGCGACAATGCACTCGGCGACAATGCACCGGTCTCGATTGGCTGCTCACCGTGCAGATCAACATTCTGCTGCACGCCTGAGAATCCAGCGTCACTGATTCCTTCCATACGCTTCTCCGACTTGTTGATCGTCGAGCTCTCGCCAGCGCACAGCGTGGAGGTTTCGCCCGGCTCGCATGCATGCACAGCGGAAGCCTCGCGATTCTGCGATGAGAACACGCCGTGATAGGCATGTGCAGGTTGTCGCGTGATCAACGCTGCCTCGTGCACTCTCACGGACTGGTCGCTGCTTGACGAACCTGAAGCGTCGCTTTTGAATCTCTTGCGGTCTACGGTCCGAGCACCATCGTCGAGCTGGCATCCCTCGGGTATCCTCTTTTTGGTCATTCTCTCGTTTACATCGTCCTCCCAGTCGGAAGCACAGGCAGTGTGACGCATGACGACGGAGCATGTCCCTTCCGCGCGATCCCTGAGTAGTTCAGCCTTCATCCCGATAGTTTTGGCTGAGGTGCGATGTGAGGCGCTATCGGAGTGAGTCGACACGTCGATCATAGCAGCAGATATCATCGATGGATTTGAAGGAAAGATGTGCGTCTCGCCGTGGGACCGATGTCAAGCAGGAGAGCGTAGACAACGACAGGGCTGTCGACACGTAGGAGTTGTCGGAAAGATAAGCTGCCCAACCTCAGGAGGTGTCCATTGCAAGGACAGCTCAAAATGTGTATGAGATGGTCGCGTTGCGGCCACGTGCCCAACGCGTCAGAACGCGCCTCGGTAAAATCACGTGATCGAGACCCGCTGTACGGTCTGTGCTCACTGCGTACAGAAGGGCCGCAAACAAACAGTTTGAGGCACTGACTAGTGACTCGTCAGCGAATATTGTATGCGATGTGTCGTCTAGTTACGCTAAGCAATGTTCGGCCATGAATACATCACTAGGACTGCAGCCGCTGATTAGAAAGCGTGCGCGCTAAGGCCAAATTCATTTCGCACATCGCTCCATGTCGACTCTGCATTGCGCTAGCTCCGTTATATGGCTGGAATGTGGTCTAGAGCCAAGAGAATATATGGACCGACATCCGAAATAAATTTCCATTCACATAAGCCCATCCTCAAGAGGCCACAAGAAAGGGCTCGCGATGATACTCCAGCGTTCGGGCTTGGAAATTCGTGAGCAACCTAGAGGACCAACTTCATGAAATAAAAGAAACGTGCTATCTTTCAGAAACGAGCAGGCAAGCTCGTCTGCCCTGCGGTGGGTGGGGCTATCAGTCAGACAAGGATTGCACGTAGGACCTCTTCACTTCAAGAATCGCGTTTCGTTGGATATTGAGGGAATGGCCGCGTCATTTCCCCCAACCGTACAGCAAACTCTGCCACGCACCGTTAGATATCTCACCGGCTGTATATACGCACATGGGTTGCTTATCTGCGCGAAAGACCACCTACAACTCGGGCTTGGCGGATGAGATGTATTGGGAGTAGCAACAGATTCTGCAAAGCCCTCCGGTCATGACGCCTTCCGTCATCAGATTGACAATGTAATTGTCTGATTCTACTTGAATCCTGGATACTGAGCCATCGCGTGACGCTCGCTCTGGCTGTGTCACATTGACCAGCAGCTCCATTTTGACGACACTTTCAAATTCTGGCTTCACACCGGATAACGCAGCCCGTTTTGTTTCCCAAAACAGGTCTGCGTGTGTATGTTCTGGGCGCTGCAGAAACACAGGATTGCACGGCGACCCTGACATCCTTTGTTTGAATCAGTGCCCCCCTACGACCGGCCAAAGGCGACGCAGTGCGCATCAATCTATGAATAGAACCTCGTGGGTGCCGATTGCTTGCGTCAATAAGCCGTTGAGGCGCAACGCTAAAGACTCGGCTGAAATGGGTAGCATTTATTGACATGTAGCCGCTGCTACGTCGAACGGTCGCCTGCCTGACGACAATCGCACTCTCAGAGAACAGCCCCAGCGCAGCATGTAATCCCAAAAAGAAAGAACGGCCTGTATGCCCTAGATTATACAGCAGAGAATGGATGTACAGAGACAATGGTGAGTCAAAAGAGGAGTGTCATTCGGTGAGGGATCCGAAGAGGCAGGGACTGCGTGAGAGGCTGTGCGGCGGTGGCGCCGAGGCCAAGCCAACAACGTCTCCAATGCTTCCATCTTCCCTAAAATACTGAAATAAAGCACCGTCGCTCTCTATTCTGAACCTCCTTCTTCTTCGCCATCACTTCTTCATCTGCGTTGACCGCGACGACGGCGGGCTGTCCTCTGCTGTTTACGACCTCCCTAACTTCGCTACATCACCGCCACTGACTCTACCCACTATTGGGCCTTCCTCTCGAGAGTGTGCCCGTCATGGCATCCTACCCAGCATACGACAGCAATCGAGCATCTCCCGTAAACGTCCTTTACCCAAACGGTAGACCCAACCCGAACGGACAGTCTTACCCTCCGTTCGCAAGCGACCCTCGCTACGACTCGAGCAGAGACTCTCTAGCCAGCATAGATGATGCCAGCACAAATACATACAAGAATCAGAAGAATGGCGAAGTAATTGTGGACATGCGCGAGCTCTCGCGCACCCCAAGTCCAACGCCGAGCGAGGCCAAGGAGCTCGAAAAGAGCGGCGTGTTCGACCTGAAGGCGATGATGAATTGGAGATTCTGGATCAGGAAGGAGTGGGCCTGTGCGTTATCTCACCGCGGTCAGTACTGGTTCGTACTGACGCTGTATGTCACGCATTGTACAGGGTACTATATCGCCTTCATCGTCGCTCTCGTCGTAGTAATATTATTTACGGTATATCATGATACAATCGTGAGGTGGTTGCAGCCGGCTGCCACTTGGATGCACAAGTGAGTCCTTCGTCCTACAGGATTTTCGGTGAGACGCTTGGGGCGGAGGACGCTCCGCTACAGCTCTTTGGCGGCCTGTTCGCACAGCAGTGGTCTGTGATCGCCTGTACTGCCTTCAGGACAATTCCTGGAAATACGTCCACACAGGTCCGCGTTCTACGATTGCGTTCCTCTGCCTCCGCGGATCATCTGCTTGACAGAGAATGCGAGCAGACGCACAGTACCGTCCTGCGCTGCGCATCGGGATGGCGAGCCGCTACTGTTTCTCTTGGCGGCTGATGCGGTGGAGGCATCATTGCCACAATTTATCCATGTTCGCGTGCGCCCTGACTCCGGTGTGCCAATTGCTGATCAACTCCCTCTGTCCAGTCTCAAGTTTGGGTGGCTGATACCCATAGCCGTCTTCTTTGTAATATCATTCCCTCCGGTACGTCCCCGCTGTTCCGCCTTTGCCGTAACGTTCTCACCGCCTCTCCCGCACAGCTCTTTGGTCACGAGATCGTTGCTATCGTGTGCGGTCTGGTCTGGGGTCTATGGATTGGCTTCGCGATTGTCGCAGCAGGAACATTCTTGGGAGAACTCGGTAATTTCTAGTACGTGCACGATTTTATTTGCGGCTCCGATGTCGGACTAACAGCGGGACCATTGATCAAAAGTGCTTTCAAATACTGCTGTACCACACGGGGCGAGAAGTTCGAGCGTACAAAGATATCCTATGCCTGCCTTGCAAAGGTGGTGCGCGAGGGTGGGTTTAAAATCGCTTTAATCGCGCGTTTCAGTGCAATCCCCGGGCATTGTGAGTCTACGTTCGATCCTCCCTGTCGCTCTATCCAAATGCTCACCGCATCAAAGTCACAACGGCCGTCTTCGCGACATGTGGTATGCATGTATTGACCTTCATGCTTGCCGCTGCGCTGTCATTACCGAAGCAATTCATCACTGTGTACCTCGGAGTGGCCATGGAGCAGTCCGAGACTGGTATGTTTCACCGGGATGTTATGAAGTGCGATCTGCTGATGGACGCGCCGCATCTGCAGGCGGTGGGAGCAAGAACGATACTATCGTCAAGGACGCCGTTGTCGGCATCAGCGTCGTCGTCACGTTTATAGCTATGTGGTACATATACCATCTCATGAACAAGGTCAAGCCGGAGGTCATCCACGAGCGACGGAAAGCACGGTACGCTCAAGCACACCCATCGTTTTCTACCTCTATCTATGACTGAACACACTCGCCACTCCAGACAAGCCAAGATGATGGCCGCCATCGGCGAAGGCCCCTACAACAACCCCACAATGCTACAGTCCTCCACCTCAGTCGCCTTCAACCCGAACACCTCCGAGTCCGAAATCCCGCTCAACCCGCAGGTGCACCAGCAATGGGACGAGAACGGGCGCGCAGTCGGGTACGCGGGCGATCCGAACCTGTACGTGCCCAAGCCCGTGCGCGCACAGCCGCGCCAGCCCGCATTCGCGACGACCTTCCGCCCACAGCAACAGCAGCAGCAACAGCAACAGCGCGCGGACTCGCTCGGGAGCACGTACCAGATGAGCGAGCGCACGGCGTACCAGCCCGTCCGCCATGGCACGGACAGCTCGCAATCGCCGACGATGAACGCGCAGCCACACGTGAGCGGCACCGAGCCGGCACTGCCCAACCCCTTCGGAGATTCCATGCGCCCGCCATCACGACCGATGTACACCGCGAGCCCGCCACCGATCGTTCCGTTCGCGCCTGCATCCTCGTCGCGCCCGCATACGCCACAGACGGCGCCCGGCACGTTCAACTCATTCGCAACGCCCACGCAGGCGCAGTTTTCGCTCGGGCCCGCGCCCGCCAGTGCGCCCCTGCCCTTTCACGCACCCGCGCCCGCACCGGCGCTCGCGTCACCGAGCTACGCGCCTCCTCCAGGTCCTCCGCCACAACAGCACCCGACGAACCCCTTTGCCGCATACGACAGCACGACGTCCGTGCAGTCCGAGGCAGGCTCGCTCCCCCCGAGCTACTCCGAGCTTGGATATAGATGATCGCGCGGTCGGGCGGTTGAGTCGCCTGTCTGCGTCTGGCACTGCGAGGGTGTCGAGGGCGTCGAGGGACACGCTCGACTCGTTGGTGGCGCTGTATGTGTAGTGATTTGATACCCCTGCCCTGCCACTGCCAAGCGCGTCCCCTCGTTCTCACGTCATGTCGCGCCTTGTCTGCGATGTAATGTATGCGCTGTGCAGACGAGGTGTCTGCCTCTTCCTTTCTCTCGAGATCTTTTCTCTAGTAACACGTGGACGTTTCAACGCTGTAATTCTTGACATTAGCATCAATTCTTGCATGATCCATGATGCTCGATAGTGGCTGGCGTGAGACTGTAAAGAATATAGCGAGACGAACAACTCAGGTGGACACAGGCATAGCTCACCAATTCTCAACATGCTACATGAGCATCAGTTCTCAATGCATAATTCGATGGGCTGCACGAGACTGAATGAAACTGCGTGTGTGTATGAAATGCAAAGAAAAAACAGCAAGACAAGCACCTCCATCATGCCTATATGTGTAGTAGCGTAGAGATGAGCTCTATCATTGTGGAGGAGACAGGCGCCGGTACCGTAATTCATTCATTTCATTCATTTTGAGACGATTCTTTCAGTTCATGCATAATATTTGTGTATCCATCGACTCTACAGCATCCGACACGGGCGGACGGACGAGAGGACAGGGAGACGTAGGTGAGGAGAGGCCCGCGGTGACGATCGCGCGTCCGAGGGCGGCGGACTGCGACTCGTAAATTCTCTCCCACGGAGGTCCGAACTCACCGAGACAGCGCTCCCCAGTGCCAATCGTCTGGACGTACCGGGAACGAAGTCTGTCGCCGAGGACAAGGCCCCAATGGTTCGGTTGTACAAAGTTTCCTTTTATGTCTGGACAGTTACCATATGTAGTAGGTTCTCACGCGATTGCATCCCCATACCCAGAAAACCCCACATCTTCGCTGATACACAATCCGCTGTCATGTACATGTATAATAGGGCGCACTCCCGCCTACGAATGGAGCAGCTTTTTCCCCCTGTACATATACTCGAGCATTCGGATCAGCAACTCGGCTGGTCACGCGCGACGTCTTCGAATAAGCCACGTGAATAAGTTCCCTCTCAGCGCCCTCACTGTGTATCACTGCAGTAGTTCACTAGGCAACGTACTACGTTTCTTAATCTACTCGACCGGCTCGGTTACTACGTCGACGACCCTTCGAACGCTGCCGCGCATTCAGGCAACAATCCCGTCCTCATCGTGGTATCTATAATCAGTACGTGTGCGTAAACATAACCGCGGCCATGCAGTATGAAAAGTTCACAATCCCAAATCCTGTGTATCGTGCTCGTGCTCACGACTCGACCTCATCCTTCTCCTCCATATCCCGCTGCGCCTTCTCATCCCGCACCGTCTCCCCACTCGTCGTCGACCTCCCATCCATCCCCTTCCGATGCCCCACGATCCCCGCCCCGCGCAGGAACACGAGCGACAGGAGCGTGCCTACAACGCATACTCCTCATCAGCGACCGACACCCACTGACCCGAGTCAAAGCCACGGAAACGAAAGTCGCAAGAGGAGAGTGGAGGGAGAGGGAGAGGGAGGGAGAGGGAAGGAGAACGAGCGGAACTCACCGAATATCCCGAGCGCGAACGCAGCCCAAAACGCATCCTTATACGCAACGAGCTGCGCGCGCCTCGGCGCGTTCGTCCCATCCACGTTAACCACCACCCCATCCGCAAGCGACGCCTTCTTCAACTCCGAGTCATACACGATCGTCGTAATCGCCAGTCCAAACGCCGCGCCCAACTACCCCCCACACCACACAAATCAGATCTCGCACAATCACGATCGCACGCGCTAGGAGAAGAGGGACGCACCTGAGTCATAGTCTGGAACATCGCCCCGCCCACGCTCTGCTCATGCGGGAGACACACCTTCGCCACGAACAGCGTCCCGCTCGCGAACACGAAGTCCGCGCCGAACACGCTCACGATCGCGGCTGGGAACCCGAAGGCCCAGTAGGGCGACGCGGGGTTGATCACCGCGAACAGGATGTTGGCCACACCCGTGAGCGTCGTGCCGAATGCTGCTCCACGAAACGAACGAACGTGAGCAAGCAATGCGTGAGAGGGTGGGAGGGGGAAGGGGGGAGGGGAAGAATAAACGCGCACCGACGAGGTAGACGAGCGGGACGTGTCCCACGAAGAGCGCGACGATGATATTGCACAGCACACCGGTAACAAACATCGGCAAGATGCGCACCATCGTCAGCACCGGGTTCAAATGCTCATAATCCTGGTAATACAACTGCCCAACAACCACACCGTCAGCACTTTCTCCCTCTCCAACCACGCGACGCACCTGTATCCAGAACGTGAAGCTCATGAAGCTGCTGTATTCGAGCATGGCGATGACGAACGTGACGGCGAGCTTCCCATGCGCGCGCGTCCAGAGGCTCACGCGCATCACCGGCGGCGGCGTCCAGCGCGAGGTGCTGCCCGCGTCGACCTGGCGCTCGAGGAAGTGCTCCCACGCGACATACGCGAGCAGGAGCAACGGGCCTAGGATGAGGGTCGCGATGATGTCTGCGGGCGCTCGAGGTCAGTGCGTGGCGAGAGGCGCGCGGGAGGGAGCGTACAGGGCGTGTTCCACTCGTTCGGCGCCACGGACCCATCGCTCAGCGCGAATACGAGGAGCACGAGTCCCGAGGTGACGAGGAACGCGCCGAGCCAGTCGATCCTCCTATGAAGACGGCGTCGAATCAGGTTCATTCGGAGGATGTGATGAAAGCGCGCGCACCGGTCAGTCTCGGACGAGGGCTGGTCCTTGTCGAAGCTGAGAGCACCGCCGACAAAGGTGAGCGCGCTGATACCGGTGAGGAACCAGAACGTCGAGCGCCATGTCTTGCTGTGGGAAGTGGCGGAGGGTTCATGAATCAGAGTGGTGACGGAAAGACGTGGGTGCGAACAGGCGAGCCAAACGGTGGGGGGGGTGGATTTGATGTCAGAGGGGAAGGTGATGACCGGCGAGAACAGTGGATACACTCACTCTGTCAGCTGGGTCAAGACACCGCCGATCGCGCTTCCGATCGCGGCACCGACGGGCGCTCCAGCGGCGAAGGTGGCGAACGCGATGGACCGCAGGCGGGAAGGAGGGAAAGAGTGGGCGAGGATACCGAGCTGGGAGAATGTCAATGTGAGCACGAGGCAGCAGCGAGGGCTGGAGAGCATACCGAGGCGGGGATACAGGCGGCGGCACCGAGACCTTGGAAGCCGCGGAGGACGTCGAGGGTGATCTCGTCGTGGGTGAAGCCGCAGCCGAGGCCGAACACGCCGAGGACGAAGATGCCGGAGAGAAAGGCCTTTTTGCGACCGTACAGGTCTGCGAGGCGGCCGAAGAAGAGGAGGAGGCAGCCCTGGAGGGCGTGAGCGGGTGTAGATAAGAGGAGGGACGAGTACGTACAGAGCCGAGAGAGTAGGCAGAGATGACCCATTGGAGACGGTATTCGGGGATGCCGAGGTCGTCGCCGATGGTGGGGAGAGCGATGGCGATGGCGGTGTTATTAGAGGACTGCAGGGGGAGTGAGGATACGATAGCAGGAGAGATAAAGAGGCACGGACGTTGAGGATCATGGCGGTGGTGCAGGTTGCGATGAGGCCGACAGACCGGAGGGTGCTGAGCTTGGGAGGCGCGTGCAGCGCGGGCTTCTCTGGGTCGTGGTCGTGTCCATCGTCAGTGGCCTGGTCGAGCGTGACGCGCAGGCGGCCCTCCTCTGGTTCGCGGTCAGCATCGTAAGAGGCGCGTGAGTGAACAGAAGATGCGGGATTAACGTCTATATTGTCGTGGTGGCTGGCGGACGTCATTGTGGGAGAGCCTCGGGACGGAACAGCGCGCGTGAGAGCGGGGGAAATTCAGAGCAGGCCATGAGAGATATAGCAATTACGAGCGGGGCGGAGTGCGTCGCACGCATGTTCTTCCGAGCATCCCGTTCTAGCAGCCGACTTGCCTTTCAGGGACAATCTCTCACGCGACACCCTCCAATTCGAGATCCGCGACCAATGCCTGACTCAGCCCGTCAATAGCAGCCAATCACACGCACCCTCCGATCATCGCACGGGCCTCGACGCTGTCCTTCTCCGCCCAGCCATTTCTCATTTTGCTCGCAAGTGGCCCCATTAGCTGAGCTTACCATCACTAACAACAATCGTGACTGCACTGCTTACGCTCGCGTCAAGCTATCCAACTTGACGTTGCTGATACTGTCCGGCCAATTTATCTAATCACCGCCGCATAAACGTTCCCCATCTTCTGTACATACAACGTACGTACCGCCTGCGTTACCCACTGCTTCATTCCTATCACACCGTGCAAACGTCCTCCCGCCTGCTGGACAGCTTCTTTCATATCCTCTTACTCCTCCCGTCTATCATCCATCCGCAAATCCAAATCGTACCTGCCATTATCGCCGCCTGCCTCTGCTCCAGGTCCACTGCGCAGCATCCCCAAACCAACCTCGCCTACGCACCCATCGGCATCCAAGCACTCGCAAGCTCTCGGCTGCCCCAACGTCCCTCGTCACTCGATCACCCTTCTAATCATCCATCACCGCGAATTTTCCATCGTGGGGAACTCCGCCCCTTTCGCGGTAATAACTCGTCGGTGCGTTTGTAAAAGCCTTGTTGCGCTCATGGCACCACAGATAGTCCACTATACCCGGCCGCCTGCAGTGCCGGGTGATTTTTGAGGCTGCGCTCTGCTGCGTTGGCGTTTGCAGTGGCTCCTAGCTTCGTTTCAATTTTTTCGTCCCTCAGCTCATCCGCTGGATTGACATAGGCACACCGTGTTCCGAGCGGCGGAATTAGGGCCCGAAGCGGCGAACAGATCTGTCCATCACGCCCTGCAGACGACGCGCGACAGACCTTCCGTTCGAAAATGTCCCCTCCTCTTTTTTTCGAAGATACGGTCTGTCCACCGTGCCCATCTTCTGAACCCCCCTCTCACCGCGTCCTCTGCCCGACGTGATGCGCCGCCCTAGATCCCGCCTCATCTGCGTCAGAACACCAACTGCCGTTCAACCGCTCAGCCTATATCCGTTCTTCGTCCGTCCATATCCCCGTGTTCGTCGGGAACACCGCCCCCACCATAGAGGATCCCAGGCACGCAGCAGCTCTCATTCCACAGCCCACAGTCCACAGCCATATCGCCACCTCCCTCGTCACCCACCATCCTCCTGACATCGGTGGCGGTCCGACGTCCAGCGCCCACTCGCATCGCAAACCCGCGTCTGACAAAAATACAACACCCAGGCGAGACAAGCCCATCACCCGCCCGCACCTCCCACCTCCCACCTTTACTCATCCCCGCGTCAATGACAAAGGCAGAGCGCCGTCTTCGCCACGACGAGGACGAGAGCCAGTCACGTCCTGCCGATCTCATGCATATGCATGATACGAGGCGTTCTCCGCGCACACGGAAAGCTTCATTGCAAGGCCCCGTCTGACAAAAATACCCAGGCAAGACAGGGCCGTCACCTCCCGCACCTCCCACCTCCCGCAGTTACTCATCCCCGCGTCAATGACAAAGACAGAGCGCCGTCTTTGCGCGAACGCACGAAGAGCCGGACACGAGACGAGGACGGGAGCCAGTCACGTTTTGCCGATCTCATGCTGGCGCTCTTTGTATGCAGGGAGAGCTTCTGTTGCCATTGATATTGGCTGGTCAGGAGGTGTTTACCCTTCCCCGCTTTCGTGCGTCGAGCTTCTTTGTGCGACGCGCATCGGCCGCCGAACGCGTCCTCGAGCGATAGCGCTCGGTACTGTTTCTGACACATGATCGTGGTGGCTGGTCGGCTTGCTAACAAGCTCGAGTTTCGTAAGGGTCGCAGTGTAGGAATCGTCGCAGGGTGTCTCCTCTTCATCGAAGGCTACGTGGCATCAGTGCACTTGGGACATGTTCCCGTTATCTGCATCTCGTATGGAACCCGTGAAAGTGGAGCTCGAAGCTCGAAGCTTGTACCTTGGTCCGCTGGTCGCATTCGAATACGAAACCGAGTACAGAACGACACGTTTGCACTGTGCGTCGAACATTCTAACGTCACCAGCACAGCGCTGCTCCCTCCGCGAACGCACGACTCGAGAGAGCCGGACACGCAGCGCGAGCCAGCCATGCCAGTGTCCCGTCCCGCCCGTCTCGCGAATAGCCCAATCTCGACGAGGGAGACGCTCCGCGCGCACAGAAAACCTCCGTGACCAAGTCGGAAGACGCCCTCACCCGGGTCAAGCTTCTTCGTGCGACGCGCACATAAGGGGCGCACCCGGCCGCCGGACGCGTCTTCGAGCTAGCGCTCGTTACTGTGTCGACCACATGATCGTGGCGGTTGGGCGGCTTGTTGATCAGCGCGGGTTTTGTAAGGATCGCGGTGTAGGCGTCGTCGTGAGGGTGTCTGCTCTACGGTGAAGGTTGTCGTGACGTGGCGTGAGTGTACTTGGGACATGGTCCGGCTGTCTGCATCTCGTCTGGAACTGTTGGAACTGGATTGGAGCTCGAAGCTCGAAGCTCGAAGCTCGAAGCAAGCTTGGTCCGCTAGCCGCGCTCGGATACGACCCCGAGTACAGGACGACACGTTCGCACCGGTGCGTCGGACGTCGCAACGTCCAGCACAGCGCCGCCCTAGCCGTGAATGCACGAAGAGCCGGACACGCTCCGCGAACCAGTCATGCCAGTGGGAGTGTCCCGCCGACCTCGCGGTATAACCCAATCAACGACTCGGAGGCTTCTTCGAGCTTTGAAGGTGCCTACGGCGTCGACTCGAAGCTTCTTTGTGCACTTCAGGAATGTGCCCGGCCGCCGGACGCGTCTTCGAGCCTTGATAGCGCTCGGTACTGTTTCGGACACATGATCGTGGCGGCCGGGTGGCTTGTGAACTAACGCCGGTTTTGTAAGGATCGCGGTGTGGGCGTCGTCGTGAGGGTGTCTGCTCTACGGTGAAGGTCATGCCATCGTGACGCGAGCGGGCTATCGACACTCGAAGCTTGCACCGTGCAGCGTGCACCGCTAGTCGCGTTCTTCGTTCAGTACTGCGCCCGTTCAGCGCCCAATCTTCTCGTGCTAGATTTGAAACTCTTGGGAGCCAATTCGATGTCATCTCCGTAATTCGGCTGTCTTGTGGACGAAAGGAGCCCCTCTCTCAATCATCAGCGACGTCACGCAGAACCTCGCGCGACTACTCGCCACTCGTGCTCAACAGCCAACGTGCAACGTTCAACAGTCAGCACTCTGTCGCGATTTGGGAGCCCAGGCGGGCGTCGGATCCTGCCATGCTCGCCAGTGCAGTGTACGGCGTGCAGCGTGCGGCCCTCCCTGTCTGTTCGGGTCATACGTCTCGTGCCCTCTGTACTCCTCAACCTTGCTGAACTTCGCGCTCATCCTCATTCCGATGACCTTTTGTCCGACGATCCTCTGCGCCTGCTAGACATTTGTGTCCTCGCTGTACCAGGATGTGGACCCTCTCCAGCCCTATCGCCTCTCTCCTCTGGCGTCAGCCCAAGTGGATGGACATCTGTGGTGCATGCGATGCTATAGAGCGCAGGAAGTGAGGTCACCTGGTTGTTTGCTTGTTTATGCCTGGGTGTGGGTCATCTGGCTGTTGAGGCTGCGGATTCTCGGATATTGCGATGAGGGCTCGAGTATGAAGACTGCTTGTGGAGCTCGCCTCCCAGAGGTGACTTGCCGTGGCCGTCATTGGATGAAGGAAATTTCGGTATGTTTCTTGTAGCGAACCCTCCTCCGCCGGTGGCTGTTGCTGACACGTCGCCAGGCGAGAACATGCACAGACCCTTATCCCGACGTCCGTGCTCGACCAATGTCAGCTTGCTGTTTGGGTCTGCTGAGCTTGCTGACTTTCAGTTGCGTCCGCGTCTTGCGGCGATTAGGCATGTCTGCAATTCATCTTCAGCCTCGGACAACGTCAGGTGGTACTGATTTTGGGCCGAGCTGCCTCATCTCCTGTTTGATGGGGGATTGTTACCTAGCGGCACGTTCGCATGGGCCGCGATCGTCGATGAGTGGACGAGTGTGGCGTGGTGTTGCAGGTGCAGCTGAGGGAGTGGATAAGCCATGTATACGGGACAATAGTGCGACTTGATGTGAAGGTGGGCCGCTCACCATCGTCAATCCATGTGCTTGCATGATGAATTATGTGCAGCGAGTTCGCAGGCGTCGTTACAGATGTGTGCTGGCCGGAAGTCTGAGCAGGACGGCTCCGTGGCACCCCGAATGCGGAGTGTCGGCAAGAGCGTGGACCGCCCAGTTCGTGTCCTGCCGTAGATGGGAGCTTGGACAAACGCGCTGGACGCTATCAAGGCCTCTTCCAGCGTGTCGTTATTGTCTGGTGCGCCCATAATGCGGTTCATGCATTTGCATCATCTCATATCGTCACTAGGTTCACCGACGATCAGATACGTCAATAGCTTGTATGTACGTACGATAGCGATGAATACATACCCACTCGCGAAACGGCAACCTCGATTACCGAGCGGCCGTTCATCTGCCTTGAAGGCCCTTGCGAGAGATGTGGTCCTAGCATCCCACGAGCGAAGGCGAAAGGAGGCCCGTGCCAAGGCAGGTACCGGTGTCGAGTGACCTTTCCTCAGCACCAAGACCATGGCGCAGTACAATGGCGAATCGACAGTGCCCTTGACACTGTTGGAAGACCCGCATCATACAGGAACAACCCGTATTCCTTGCGATTGTCGCAGCAAGCCAGTTGAGGGTAACGTTGGATGTAAGGTGCCGCGGAGATTTGGCATCCAGGAAGGTCGTCATCTGACGGTCATAGGTGAGTGCTAAGGGACACCTAGTGATGTGTTCAGTCGAAGGCCAAAATGGTCCGTTTATCCATTCTGGTGCTCGATAAACGATTGTTGGGCGATTGAGGAATACTCATCTTTGACATTCGAGATTTGCTATTTTATTAACTTCCTCAGGACATCGGGAAGCAGGAACTGAACCAGAGGGGAGCAAACGTTTGGCTTAGGGGGCTTTTGTGACCATTTGCAGCGTGAGTGGCACCGTGCCTGGGTGAGTGGTCCATGCGACCACGTGGTAACGGGGCGATGTTGAACTTTTGCCACCCACTCACTTATCTTACCACGAGCACCTCTGACCACCGTTCGAGGCAATCCCCTGCTTCTCCCCACCCCCGCGGGAAACACGTATACTATACTGTCACAGACGTCGATCTCATTCCATCATCAATTACTTCCCCCTTGTTCATTCACGACTTCCAGTTCCGAAGGAGTAGCGACTGAGACACGCATCCACCCTTCGATATACCTTGCCACCATGCAGCCATCGGACAATAGCAAACACTCGACCAAAGCAACTCTCGATCTTGCCTCAACTCAGGGTGCTGCGCACCAGGCGGATCTGCCAGCATCGGAACCTGACAAGGGCGAAACGAAGGCGACCACCACTTTATCAATCGAGGAGAGCGAACAACCAAAGATGACGCGTAAACCATCATCCTCTTCGGTGGGGCCCGACAAAGAGAACATTGTAAGAAAGCAAAAGCGTGTCGTACCAGCTACGGATTCGGGTGCGTCCAACGGCTTGTCAGCAATAAGACCATCGTGGTTGGTCTAAACGATCCTATAGTGGCACAAAGAGAAATACCCACAAGAAGCAAGAGAAAGGCGGCAGACATGGTCGAAGGCACCGACGACATCGATCATGAGCGTCTGCTCAAACGGCTAAAGCTGGGAAGCCACAACTTCAACGAGACTACGGACACCGACAGCGAGAACGAGGTCGCCCGATTTCTCCCGATCCCCACATGTCTATTGACAAAGATTACCGTCGGTGTGGATGTTGAGTCGCGGACGCCAACGAAGAAATCCGATAACGATCCCGCGCAAAAAGATATCCTCACTTCGACCAGCGTGCGCGCTGTCTCCAGCGATCTCGACAGTTCATCCGTACGAAAAGAGAAATCGTCATCTGAGCCACCCCCAGGTAGATCAGCTTTGTGATTTGACACCCAAATCTCATAGCTGGTTCTTTAGAGTGTGCCGACGGCCAAGACTCGCCAATCAAAGATCATCGTGCAGTTTCTCAATCTTCTGTTCGCGAGCCGACTCCAAAGACATCCGTTACGGCTGGCAAAGAGTCGTTGCAGAGCTCGACCGCTTCAGCTGTTTCGAACACTGAAGAAGGAGCTCAAGTCACTGCCTCAGAGGAGATCCAGGCAGTTTGCGTGAGTGCTGCAGGCGAATCTGCTGACGCTTCTCAGGACAGATCGGACAAGATTTGCCATGAAGATGTCGGTGCAGACAAGCCTTCAGCAGAGGACACGTACGAGGAGAATGATGAGAGTGATGCTGAGTCGTCCTCATCAGACCCGGATATTGACTATGAACTTGCTGTGGTTACCGATTCTGACGATTCTGACACAGATTCCGATGATGACGACGAGCCAGTTGACGAAAGAGGGCACGACGATGATCCTGAAGATAATGAACCCCCAGAAGCGATTGAAGTCAAGCCCAACACTTTCCAGCGGCGCACTGAGATATCGATATGGCGCTATGCATGCATTTACCGTATCGAACCCTAGTACGCGCCTTGCTTAATACTCGAATGTGATCCCTGACCTCTTCCGCCCAACAGCATTTTCGAATACAGGGACAGGATTTCCGCGAGTGTCGAGGCCGAAGAGAAACGATATCAAGCAAGAATCAGGGGTGATGTTTCAAAGGAGCACGTCTTAAAGCCGCCGGAGTTCTGGAGGATACCGTTGACGAAGATCAATCGCGATTTCGATATACGTCCCGATTACAAATCCCATGGGACGCCTGCACGACCACCATCGCCCGCACGAGGGATCGTCGCTCGGAGATCGCTTGCATTGCGATGTCCCCCGTGAAAGGTCAAGCACGTTCGACTCCCTTTCAGCAATGAATCCAGAAAGTCGCTGGAGACGACTTTACAATGTGAGGCGAACGCAGAGTTCATTAAATTTCATAATTTCTTTCTTGCCTATGTTGCTAATCTCTCATACCCCATAGGACTTCATTCTTCAATTGTACTTTTATGCTCGCGGAAGCAATTCGCGAAGTCCCGCCATCACACTATATCCTCACTGTACTAAAGTATACGTTCACAAGTCTTCGATCACTACTTAACATCATATATATCCTGGATTTTCTATTCCGAAACAGCGACGGACGTCCGATCTGTTTTGTGCTGCTAGGTTATCGCATGATGTTGCATAAGCTCAGGTTAGCATCAAATTCAAGCGACCGTAAGTAAGTAGTGGCGCTACCATGGGCCACCCTTTGCACAAACATGCCACAACTACGTAGGTAGACGCCACACTATCATTAGGCATCACGATTTCACGTCCATCCATAGGAACTCTCTTGGCCTCAGGTCATAGCCCACTGGACATAGGGTCAATCGTACATTTGCGTATCTGGTGCACGGACTATTTCGAATAACCAGTTAACCAAGGCTCATCTCAATCGCAAGCGGTGCTGGAACGCAACCTGTCACCGGATATCGCATCTGCCACTCAAGATGTCATCATCTTGCAAATCCGACAATACCAAAGCCAATACGAATTCAAGTATAAGCTTCACTGGAAATGGTCCAGCTGCTATCATTCCTGGTCCGCCAGTCCCAAGCTGCCCATTGTCAAATGTCTGCGTCACGAGAAACGTTGAGCTTCATCCTGTGACCGAGAAGCGTGCGTCGACGGAGAACAAGAGAAAATCCACAGAACCGATGCGCGATTGCGACGATCTCGAAAACAGTTCGGAGTGTTCGAAACGCGTAAAGCTCGATGTCTCCGTGCATGAGTACCCAAGGGATCCTCTATGCTCTGTTATGAACAAAGAAGCAGCACTTTCGCTGACAAATAACTTGCACGAGCCATCAGTGACGGGGACTCCTCGAGATGATCCGCAAGTAATTGCACAAGGCCTTCCATCCACGGCAGGTTCTGGCGACGCAGCCGTATGCGTGTGTGGCGCACCTCCCAAGACCGTTAGTGCAGATCAGGCTGTGGGGATTAACTCCGATCTCTCGGAGACGCGTTCTCAAGCTAGAGCTACAGCAAGAACGGGACCAAACGTAGCAGGTGTGAGTGCACGATCTGCACTGGTCAAGAAACTCGTGACTTCCGTCGATCGCATCGATCCACGGAAGGAATCTCTGTGGGAAACGGCCTACAGATATCGCGTTAAAGTCTTGTAAGTTTGTGATATAAAGGTCTCGACAATGTACTCATCTGACGAGAATATATGATTGCGCGACGGTTAGGATTCGCATATATGGCGATGATATCGTGAATAAGGTTCTAGAGCACGAGCAAGAGCGTTACTCCAATATGCAGCAGGATCAAAAAGCCAAAATAGAGGAATGCGACTATCCTCTTACCGTGGCTATGCAATCCGGCTCTCACAAAATGGACTTAGAGAGCCGCTCCGCAAGCTCGGACTCAGCCACTCCTCGTGCAGAGCCATACATGGCTCCTGGTCCTCGTCCCGCACTATCAGAGAACTCGCTCGCCGAGACGAACCCAGCAAGACATACGGCTAATGCAGAAGGTTTGCTGTGTGACATGACAGCCGAATCCGAGAACCTTGTCTCGGTTCGATCGACCTTCGATACCGTTGCATCGAAAGGCACAGCTTCCATCGTAGCATCTGTCAGCCTGGTGCGCTTATCGGAAATTCCAGTGCGAAACATACGTGATATTCGCCCCTTGATACTGCGTGGAACGCCTGCACGGGTGTCATGCAAGGCACGGGGAACGTTGCGAAGATCGTCCCAGTAGTGGGACGTTGATTCAATAGTATCGCGCTAAACAGCCGCGCACGTTGCGGAAAGGATCATCAGCGGCGACGATTTGACATCGAGGCGCTGTGGTCAAGGTATTAAAGAATCGAGCCGCTTGCGAGGAGCTACATATGTATGGCGGAAGAATCATCAAGCTGCGTTTCCCAGTCGAATATCCTGAGGATCGGAAAGAGAATTAGCGTCAGCGTTGAAGATCTGTTAATCCAGTGTATTAAATAAATTGGAATGTACATACCGGAATAAGGCGAACACCATGATTATAGCGCCTTCAGCAACCGCGATATGGATTTCGTGCAGGTCATAGACAATTAAGGCGTTCCTTGACCACAATCGCGATTCTGAGGAGTCTTATGGCTTCTTCGAAGGTGGAGGTATTTTCCCGCATTCACGTCTACAGATCATCTGCATCGGACGAAGTCAAGCGGCGGTGAATTCTCTGACATCCAGGTTACAAGCGATTTGATGGTGCTACACACTGCTACAAAGCCGTATGATTCAATCCTTCTGACTCTGAGGTCAGATTCCAAAACTGGCATATAAACTGCGGGGCGTCCGAGAAGATGCGAAGCGAGGGTCAACAGGATTTTGAGTGAAGACGGTGATTACGGGGACAAGGAATATCATGATGAACACGGCGGACAACCGCGTAACTCTGATTGTCGACAAATACGACATGGGGCACGCCTTAGGCCATAGTGACCACGGAAACGACATGCCATATTCAGGATCACGGCGATGGCGTGACGAGGGCGAACGAGGAGGTTGAATGAGAGTACGATGCTCAGGCTGAAGTCTGGATCATTTGTAGATGGGATGGGATTGGCCGGGGCGGGGGGCCGTCGTAGGAGTTGCATGTCCAGAATGATTTGGAGAGGAGAGTCAAGGCGAGATGGCATGACTGCACAGGCAGAAATTGCCTATGCAGTGTTTTGCTCAGTGGGACGAGGCTGCTTTTTCGCCAGTTGTTTGGCTTTCAATGCCCTCTCATCATCATTTGGGAATTGGCGTCCGTTATAATGAGTACTGAATCCATGTGAGTTCAGTCAGTATCCAAGAAACGAGGATGACGCACATCAACATGTTCTTGTCGTTCAGTTTGGGAAAACGGGCACTAATCTCTGTACAAAACCCAATATGCTGTGAGTCATCCAATCCAGCGATGTCTGTATGGAAATCTATGGATACATCTTGCAGTTCGGCAAAATGTTCCCTCAGCCAGAAGCTCGTCAATCTGAATGCAGACCTCCAGATCAAATGCATTAAGTAAGGCATCTGTTTCCAATTTCGAATGGCTTGCTACGACGAAATGGACATCTTTGAGACCTTTTGACGATATCGTGTCGAGCACAGGCAGCAGCAGACTCTGGACAAACAGTGCCACGTCGTTCGTGTTCGAAGTGAAGATGGCCAGACTGGGGCTTTGCAGATTGTCATTTGCTTCAAAGCTGATAGGGTGCACTAGAAAATATGAGCCATGCTGTGCACGGAACACTATTCGATTCAATACTCACAGAGCAACGACTGGAAATTGCCACCGGCATCTTCTTCTGGTGCCTGGAAGAGTATTGTTGCCCCCTCGAGTCTCGTGCCGGCCATGTTCAGCATGTCCTGAGTAAAAGCAAGAGCCGCCTCGGAGACTGCAGATTCTAGGCGAAGTGATTTCAGGATTTTTTGATCTAGCAGACCGAGAAGAATATGTCCAATGTCCTCGAAGCATGACAGGTCATATTCAAGGGAAGTCACTGTCCTCAAAGGCATGCGGTGGTGTTCAGGCAGTGAAGCCATAGACCTTGATTCGCTCCAGCGCAGATCGTAACAATAAAGGTCCTGCAGATGAGGAAATGAACAGATGACCTGAACGAAGGGGCTCGCCGATGGCAATGTCACACTCAGTAGCCACAATGATGTAATGTGACTGAATTCGTGCAAACTCCAAAACGCTAAAACGCGCATAGAGCAGTGCTCGAAGCTGACGTGGCTGAACGCGAGCCGGGCCAAGTTGGGAAGTTTCTCCGCCAGCATCACGAGAATCGATGCCAGTTCCGCGCCTGTCACAACGGTCTCCGAATCTGAATGATGCCCGATCCGTAATTGTCGCACACGGGCAGCGAGGAGAGGTATCTGCTTCAATGATGTCACGCAGGCGACCGCCTGTTTCCAAGTGCGGAGCTCGGGCTCTTCGAAAAGGACCGCGCGGCTCTCGGCATACCACCCTCGACAAATGAGGGCGCAGTTCAACAGAGTTTGTCTTTCGCCTGCGTACCAATCCGGATCGAGATGGTCGATGATGCGCTCGCAGATCTCCAGCGGAAGACGAGGCTGAGGGTCATTGACGGGCGGGGCAGCACTGGCGTCTACCGTTGGAGCAGCCATAGCAAGTTCGGACGGCTTGTGTCGTTATATGAGCAAGTTCCTGAGGATGAGATTGTAGCTGCTCACAAGATGCAACGTGGACAAAATGCAGACCGTCGAGATGAAAAGCGATGCAGAGGATGCCGATGAGATGGAATCAGAGTGGGACTGTCAGCCTGCGGCAACTTGGGGTCGTGGAACGTCTTATATACATGACGAACGCTTCGGTGCCACAAAACCACATGCATTCAACGGGAGTCTGATATGATCTGCTGACGCCCACACAGCCTTGCTGGTGGCACTGTCCTGGCACTGGACATACTTGAGTTCCTATGTTCTCTTTCTGTCATCGAAAATAATGGACGTACAATACAGCACAGTGATGTAATTGCATTGACTTTCTTATCAAACGTAGGACGTCATTTACTATGCACATGCGCTGACCGTGATGAATACGATGTTCTGTTGTGCTACTGACCTTGAACCATTGCATTCGATATATGTGGGTCGCCTTCTGCAGAGCCACTGTCCTGCGCCTTCTCGGCTACGTCCTGGCGCGTGCGTGCTATGGACAGCATCAGCAAAATGTGGGTACGAGTAACGCGCCCGCGCTATCCATAGAGTGGACATTAGATGTCGTGTTGAAATCGAATGCAGCTGTGACAGGCACTACACACTCCCTGCCCGTTGATACGGATCTTGCAACACACATGTACAGCCATCTCGAACAGCCATATGATCGTTCAGCCTGGCTTCTCAGCGCCAATTTATCAGCACTTCAGCTCCGAATTTCATCAATAGCGTTTGGCTGCGGTGTAATCGATCCCTGCGTGGTAGGCCAACTGAATACAGCGCTGCCTTGAGGTCGTGATGCGCTTCACAGCCTCGCAAAGATTGTGTGTCCACAGGGTTGTCAGAGTCTGATGGAGCATTATTGGTACCAGGTTATGCATGGGAACCTACCTGAACTGCACGTAGTGGTGCAGGCAGGAGACGAGAAGGCACCGCTCACTTTGATGTTCACATAGTATACAAAAATAATCAGAGCGCCCCGGATAATACCAGTAATAACTGCTCGAGTCGAGACGAATCGAGTACGATGTGATGGAATGCCCTTCTTCCGTCGTCCGCAGTACATGCCCGAATCGTTTCTCCGCTGCTGCACGCCGATGAATCGAAATTTACTAGTGCTGATCGTGCAGAGATCAGATCTAGACAACTTACGTTCAACCTGACCGTAACCCCTCGAACAAGCCTTGGAGTAAACCGGATCCAAGAACTTCATCTGTGGCATAGCCTTGTAGCGTTGATCTGCTTGAGATACATTCTCGCATTCAATTGTACGATATCCCGTCGCCCAGTGGATGCGTCTCACGTAGGAAGAAGAGCGTTAGGAACCACGCACTTCATTAGGAGATGAAATCACAAGACACTCACCCGTCCTGCTCCTTGAGCTTTTCCGCAGCGATGGCCATCGCTTCGTCTGTTTGAAGGCCGTCGTGACTCTTAGACTCATCGTGAGACAGACATTGTAAGATCTTGTGCGCGAGCGATCCATAACTGTAACATTTGACTTGTAGTTCAGCCTGCTAAAGCCCTTCTCCATCATTTCGCACGTGGAAGCCTTGCAAGCATCTTGCTCTATTTCTGGCAAGCTCCATCAGGCGAATGATGCTGTCCTTCGATGAGCGGATCAGCAAACAGACTGTATTGAACGAAGGTGGCGAGGAGGGAACATTCCTGAAGGGTGAGGCGTTGAGGACACGAGGCATCCATCCAATCGAACATGCATCTACAGAGACAGCAGATGTCGTATCAGTGCTTCAGTATGGTACAGACAGAGTAGTATCGAGTATAATACAATGTCACCAAGGCGCGTCAAAGAGAGATTCGACGTTGAACGCGCCACCTTCATTTGCCCTTCCTGACACCCGACATATTCATCCTCCCACGCCCTGCAGCCCATCAGCACGAGAATCCATCCCAATGAACGTATGGACGCACCTTGAACTGCACTCCACCCGTATGCTCTGCCTGCTCCCTCTCCACCTGCCGCTTCAGCCTCTCCAGCTCGCGCCTCTTCGCCTCAGCCAGACACTCCCTCTCAGCCTTGCATCGTACTGTAATGTTCCTCCGTCTTCTCGACCGGCGCCAAAGAGCGCGAACATTCTGTCTTGCTTTTCGACTCGGACTCGTTCTTCTTGTGCCGGTGGCGACGCTCACGCTCAGACTTGGACTCGGCCACAGAATACGGTGCCGGCGCTTCTTGGGGTGGCGCTGCTTCTCATCAATCGACATTTCGAGCTCGGTGGCTCGCTCTCACTTTCCGCCTCGCACTTTCCGCCTCGACGCAGAGCGTGCCGGTCTTTTCGCGATGATACGTTCATCACAAGAATAATATCCGCATACCGTCTGGCTCCTGAGATTGCACCTCCTCACCTTAGAGCAGAGCGCTCGCTCGACCTGGATTCTCTCGGTGAGCAGATCCATGTCCAGCTTTGCAGGGCATCGGCACCTCCAACTACTACTAGTAGTCCGCGCTCTCGCCCTCGTCCGGCCGCGGATCTGCTCGATTCCATTTTGTTCAGACTTGAGTGCTTGATTATTTTTCTGCGCATTCGTCCTTGGGCTCGACAGCAAGTAGGTACGCGTACGGTCTGTTCAAGATTGTGTATCGCTGAGAGCTTGTTCATGAAAGGGTCGGCTTCACATCTGCTATCACCCTCTCCGGAAATTCTGCTGTGCTTAACTTCCTGCGCACATCACTGTACTGTCAACCGCGGCCCAGTTGGAATCGACCCGCGAGGCTACCACTCGTTGAAAGAAGGCAATCCCTGCCTTATCAGTGCGTCCACATGATGCCCATTGCTCTCGGACCGCCTGAGTTGTCTAGCGCAGCGTTTCATCCCCGACTACAATCAGCATGCGTACTCCGGTCTGTGACGACGATCTTGAGGTGGTCTCGCTTGTTTATCTGCCCCCCTCACCGTCCACGCAGGATGCTCTGTCACGATCCGGCCTTGGTTCACGATAACATGCCAATGTCGGTCACGACCGCAAGTTACTAGAGCATCGAAGCTCGCCGCCTGCGACAAGACGACGCGGGTGATTTCATGCAGCTGCGATAGTTAGACATTACTGTTCACCTTGGGTGCGTCTGCGAACTGACACAAATCGATCGTCGGACTGTATGTGCTTTTGATGGTTCTGTTGTCATAAGACCCGCTTTTGCTTGAGCTTTCTTCGGACATCGCACGCAATAACGGGGAGGACTCCCACAGAGGTAAGTTTTACTGGTCGCTGCGCCTCCTTGCCCTCGTCGACTTATGCTGCCTTCAGCGTGACATATTTACACGAGCGCGCTTCCGTCATCGTGAACCGCTCGGATCGATGACACGCAAGTCTCCATTGGGCGCATCGGTGCGTCAAGAATATATTTCCATTTCCACCGTCTTTACTGTACGCATTCATCCAGGGCATTTTCTCATTTCGCGAGCGTTGTGCGCAGACGTGCGTCTCAATTTTTTGATGTTCCCCATCTGTCTTGTTCTTCGTTCGTGCCAGATATCTGTCCGATGTGCCGTTCTTTCCGCACATTTATGCATACGATACATCTCGCCTTTTCTTGGATATGTATCCTCTCGGTCGTCTTGTGGTTCTTATGTTCTCTCTCGTCGTTGTAATCTCCGTCTATTGTCTCGTCTTCCTCCTCTCGCTTATATGGTCTCTCCTGAAGTCTCTGGTCTCGGGCTGTATGAAAGTTGCTCGTTCCTCGTCTCAGATTGGTCTTGTATGTGTCTGGCCTTCACATGAATTTCGGATTCCACTTTTCTTACAACTTCGCGAGTGACTTCTGGTACTCCAGCGTCATTGATAGTTCGCATCGAATGCGCAACGGTGAGATCTCGTTAGAAATGTTGTGTAAATTGGAAGACTATTGATGTTTCGAGGCTTGAGACTCGTTTGCGACGGCACATCGTGCCCGTGATCAGGCTGACCGCTGAAAATTCTGATTCGCATCTGTAGTCCTATCAAAACGAAACCGCATAGTAAAAGACATAGGTACAGATCGAGCGAAGCGAGGAATAGTAACACGGGATCCTGTCTGCCATGTGGTAGTTACATCGGGCACTGAGTACACAGACCGGCGTAGGAACTACGGGACGTCCGAAAATATGTCGCGAATGCGAAGCGAGCATCAAGAAGATTTACGCGTAGACAGTGATTACGGGTGACCGGAGAGGGGGGGAAGGGTGAATCATGATGATCATGGACAATGGCGTAACTGTGATTGTCAAGAAGTAGGACACGGGGTATGCTATAGGCCATAGTGACCACGGAAACGATATGCCGTAGCCACCGTCACGGTGACGGCGAGATGAAAGCGAAGATGACAGCACGATGCTCGGGCTGATGTCTGGATATCTCGTATATGGGACGGAATTTGGCCGTGGAGGGGGTGGGGGAGTGCCGCCGTAGGAGCTGCACATCCGGGATAATTTGGAGAGGAAAGTGAAGGCGAGGTGGCATGAGCGCAAAGACAGGATTTATCTATGTGGCGGCTTGCTCAGTTGGACGAGGCGGCTTTTCGGCCAGTTGTTTCGCTTTCAATGCTCTCTCAGCCTCACTTGGACATTGGTAATCTTTATAATTTGGTTTGTATTCTCTGTAACGAATACTGAATGCATGTGAGTTCAATGAGGTATCCGAGAAATGAGGATGACGCACATCAACATGTTCTTGTCGTTCAGTTTAGGAAAACGGGCACAGATCTCTGTGCAGAATGCAACATGCTGTGAGCCATCCAACAGGGCATCCTCGAATTCTATTGATACGTCTTGCAGTTTAGTGAAATGTCCCTCAGCCAAAAGCTCGTCAATCTGACTGCAGACCTCCGGATCAAATGCGTTGAGCAGCGCGTCTGTTTTCACTTTCGGATCACATACTATATCAAGACGGATACCTTCGAGACCTTTTGATGATATTGTGCTGATCAGAGGCGGCAGCACACTCCGGACAAACTGTGCAATATCATTCACTTCTGAAGAACTGATTGCTAGAAACAGTCCCTGCAGATTGACATTTGCTTCAAAGGTGATAGGGTGCACTCGGAAAGTATGAGCCATGCTGTGCACGGAACATTGTTTGATTGAACACTCACAGAGTAAGGACTGGAAATTGTCACCGGTATCTTCCTCTGGTGCTTTGAGGGGTATTGCTGCGTGCTCGAGTCTCGTGCCAGCCATGTTCAGCATGTCCTGAGTAAAAGAAAGAGCCGCCTCAGAGACTGCGGGTTCTAGGCGAAGTTCTTGGAGGATTGCTTGATCCAGCAGACCGAGAAGAACATGTCGGATGTCTTCAAGGCACGACAGGTCATAGTGAAGAGAAGTCACTGTCGTCAAAGGCATGCGGTGGCGTTCAGGCAGTGGAGCCATAGACCTTGGTTTGCTCCAGCACAGATTGTAGCAAGAAAGGAACTGCAGATGAGGAAATGAACAGATGACCTGAACGAAGGGGCTCGCCGATGGCAATGTCACATTCCGTAGGTACAAGTGTACGATATGGCTGAATTCGTGCAGACTCCAAAACGCTAAATGGCGCATGGAGCAGTGCTCAAAGCTGACGTGCGGTAAGCTGAGCGACTTCAGCTTTGGAAGTTTCCCTGCCAGCAGCAAGAGAATTGATGCCAACTCTGGACCTGTCACAACGGTCTGCGGATCTGAATAAGACCCGATCTGTAGCGATTGCACACGGGTAGCGAGGAGAGGTATCTGCTTCAATGATGTCACGCAGGCGACTGCCTGTTTCGGAGTGCGGAGCTGGGGGTACGTGAAAAAGATCGCGCGGCTCTTGGCGTACCACCCTCGGCAAACGAGGGCGCAGTTCAACAGAGCTGATCTGTCCTCGTTGAGAATCCAACCGATATGGTCGATGATGCGCTCGCAAATCTCGGGCGGAAGCCGAGCCTGAGGGACGTTGATCGGTGGGGCAGCATTGGCGCCTATAGCTGGACCGGCCATGGCAGGATCGGACGGCTTGTGTTGTTGTATGAGCAAGTGTCTCAGGACGAGATTGTAGCTACTCACAAGTGTTTTCAACGTGCACGAGATGCAGGCCGTCGAAACGAATGGCGATGTAGAGAATGCCGATGCGATGGAACAAGAGCGGGATGGACGGCTTGCGATGACTGGGAGGTGTGGAACATGTTATATACGTGATGAACGCTTCGATAGTGACAGAACCGCATGGAAGCGCCACGAGTTCGATACGGTCCGCTGAGGCTCATGCAGCCTCTATTTGTGGCACTAGATCGTCCTATACCTCCGCTGACAAGCATGGAGGCGCTGTGGCGCTGTTAGCAATGGACATTTTTGAGACTAATACAGCACAGCACTGTAACTGCATTCATTCTCTTATCGAACGCCGCACGTCAATGTTGCTCTGCGCATGCGCTGACCGCGATGAATATGATGTCCTGTTGTGTTACTTATCTTGGACCATCGCATTCTTATGTGGGTCGCCTTCTCCGGAATCACTGCCTTTCGCCTTTTCAGCTATGTCCTGGCGCGTGCCATGCATAGGATTCGCGATGCGTGTTTGCACGGTGCAATGGTACGAGTAGCGCGTCCGGGCTATTCATCGACTGAATGGAGCATTGTCGTGTTGAAACCGGCAGCAGCTGTGGCGGGCACTGCATCACCTGCCCATGATCACGAAGCTTGCATACACGTGCAGCTACTTCGAACAGCCATGCCGCTCACCTTGGCTTTTTAGCTTCCATTTCTGACCATTTCCGCTCCGAGATTCACCAAGAGCGCATGGTTGCGGTGCAATCGATCCCGCAGATTGCAGCCCGATTACATACAGCACCGCCTTGAGGCTGTGACACGTCCAATAGCTTCGCAAAGATTGTGTGTCCACAGGCTCATCAGAGTCTGATATAGCGTTGTTGGCACCAGGTCGTTCATGGGAGCCTATCTGAACTGTATGTAGCGGTGCAGGCAGGACATGAGCTCAAGGTGCCACTCACTTTGATGTCCACGTAGAGCATTAAAAGTAATCAGAGCGCTCTGGATAATACCGGTAATAAATAGCTCGAGTCGAGATGCACCGAGTACAATGCGTTGGGACGCTCTCCTTCCGTCGTCCGCGGAACATGTCTGCCTCGTGGAAAGCTGTACGCCGATGAACCCGTATCGACCGTGAAGGAGTCAGACAGTCAGACCTGATAGACAGCTAACGCTCAACCGCTCGAAGAAGCCTTGGAGTAAACCGGACACAAGAACTGCATCTATGGCATAGTCGCGTAGTATTGAGATACACCCCGGCCTTCGAATGTACAATATCCCGTCGTATAGCGGATTCGTCTCACGTAGAAAGAGAAGCATTAGCAATCAAGTACTCGATGATGAGATGAGTGGCAAGAGACTCGCACACCCTACTTCCTGGAGTCTGTGGAACTGAAGGTCCCGACAACGTACTCATCTGACGAGAATATGGTTGCGCAACAGTTAGCATTCGCACGTATGGCGATGATGTCGTGAATGAGGTCCTAGAACACGAGCAAGAGCGTTACTCCAAAATGCGGCCAGTTCAAAAGGCCAAAGTGGAGGAACACGACCACGCTCTTACCGTGGCTATGCAATCTGACTTCCACAAATGGACTTCGAGAGACGCTGCCCAAGCTCGGACTCGGTGCATCAATCCACTCCTCGTTCAAAGCCATACGTGGCTCCTGATTCTCGTCCCACACGATCAGGGAACTCGCTCGTCGAGACAACCTAGCAAGGCATACCGCCGGTGCACAAGGTTTGTAAAGTGAAACACCAGCCGAATCCGAATGCTCAATATTCATTGAGTCGAAGACGAATATCCGGAACCTGTGGGCGTTCGAAGAAATTATTGCGTCTGCCCGCGGGAGACTAATTCATCGGTACTTGCTCGTGCTGTCCGCTAGAATTTGCAACGACACGATAAGTTGCTGCCAGAATGCGGAGGAATGCGGGCCTTGGCCTTCTTTTTCTTCGTCACTTGCGGCGGAAGTATCCGCTATTCTCTTTGGAGAATCCCTCATCCAGCAGTGAGTATACAAGATTGCATCGCTCTGGGGGACTCAATACGTCCCAGAATGCCTAGCATGATGTCTGAGGCCAGTGAGAAATGCCTACAAGAAGCAGAACAGACGGTTTAACATGAGCCGCAAACGTCGCTTACGTGAAGCGGGACAGGTTCCAAACCGTAGACAATCACGTCACCATCTGTGTCAGAGGTACAGAAAACAAGGCACAATCATCCACGCGTACGTATGGACCATGCGAGGGGGTTCTATTGAACCTGCGAGGATGAAACGGATGTCAAGGGTGTTACGTTTGATTAAGGAGGAAACATGATGGCGTAGCATAGATACCGCGAACAGTGGACGTGGCCAGCAGCAACTGTTCAAATTGAACGGTCAGACAGGATAAACGCAGACCGCCATGGGTGAAGTAAGGGTTACGACGTGGTCCAGAAATGTCTTGTTGAACACGATATGCCCTGCACCGACTGTCTTTATCGTGTAGGTGCTCGTACGTGTTCGCCTTCCAGTATGCACATGAAGAGGAGCGGCCAATATGCGATGTAGCCTAGACTGCGGAGCATCCCGAACGTTGTGATGTGCAAAGCTTTACAACGAGAACCAGCTGAATAGTGAAAGGTTGATACCCGGGCAGGCCCTTGGCCCGGGTGTGATCAAGATATCCGCGGACGAAAGGCACGGACAAGCGCCCAAGAGCTACACGTATCCGCCACCATCTCCGTCTACTCCCCCATCCCTTCGTTCTCCAGCAAGGCCCACCATGAACGCAGCCGCCTCGAACATAGTCATTTCCCTTTTGGCGATGCAAGGTACGCCCAGCTCAGCGACCGTGCAGGAACAATCACAATTGCCCATTGCTGACCGCTATCATAGTCGCCAAAAAGGTCGACTTCAGTGATCCACAAATACTCATGGGCGTCCGGATCGCATACGTGGCGGTCCAAATAATCATTCTAGGAACTTACTACTACGTATCATACAAGGTTTGTGCGCTCTGGTTTGTCAGTCTGTAAAAATCATCCAGGAGCGCCATTGCAGATCAAGCAGAAGAATGACATGACAGTGCTCAAATATGGTGAGTTCCTGACACACATCCTTCTGGAGACTGCATCTCACACATGATTCAATGCAGTTGAACCCCCAAATCCCATGGTTAGTCCAGTTGTTGCCTGAGCACGGTTTCGCACGATCCTTATCCACGCCACGGCCAGACAAAAGAAGAGGGCCACCTGGTGACAACGACAGTTAGGGATTATGACCTCCAGGAGACTTCCAAGCTCGTGCGCTCCGTTTACATGGGCCTCGCAATGATGACGTTTATGCATCTCTACATGAAGTACGCTCGCGATTTTCGATGCAGCCGTCCATTCCCATTTAGTTCCTCTGTTGCAGATATACCCAGCCCCTGTTCGTTCAGGCTCTCATGGGCCTCAAGGGTCTGTACGATGCGAAACTCGTTGCCATTCATATCCTCGGTAAGCCCGCGGAGGGTGACCTCAAGCGGCCGTTCAAAAGTGGCGGCTTCATGGGCGGTATGTCTTTTTTGTTACTATCACATCCATGCTGTGGACTAACGATTCGATGCACAGTCGCGGCAAACCCGCAGACTGACAAGGCTGCTATTGACGCTGCGGAGAAGCGTGCGTCTAAGAAGGACGAGTAGAAGATGGTCGAGTGTCTTTAGCGAGGAACTGCTGATTGCCGGTCGTCTTTCCTGCTGGGTATCTTCCTTTGAGTCAGGGCTGTGTCAGTAGACGGTTTATGCTCTCGAAAAGTAGATAATGATGGTACGGGTGATCCTTTGAGATCGTGCTGAGACAAATGGCGAACTCTGTATGATCAGATGAGGAAGCACAATATCATCGCATAAAACAATGCCATTCAGAGGCCTGGCTGCACCAGCACGCGTCACAAAGAGATGTTATGCTGAGATGGGGACGTGTACGATTGCGACAATAATAAACAATTGCTCAGAAAACATGCTAGACAGATTAGCCTTGAGATGATGTATATGGATAGCAAACTTTTGGCAGATGACAACACATTCTCTACGTTCCTACACCCCTTATGTATTTTTCGCGCGCGCACGACCGAGCTGGGCACCTCACTCCTGAATCTTCGCGAGGATCTCCGAGTCTCTGAACAGGTAATACTCCTACGAACACCATTAGCAATGGGGAATCAGAGCGCTCGCCGCCACAACTCACCTCTTCCCCGACCTTTATCGAGTTCCCTCCCCAGCCCGGCAACAGCACACGATCGCCTGCCTTCACATTAGTAGGCACAACCTGACCCTCCTTGTTCGGCGCGCCAGGGCCGACAGCAATCACCGTCGCCTCCGGGAGAGGACTGTTCGTCGCGGAAGTAGGAAGGAGAACGCCAGTCGCGGTTCTCTACGACCAAAATCAAAGAGGTGAGGAACGGTTCGAAGGGTGTGGGCAAAACAAAGCAGGATGGACGTACCGTCTCGGGCTTGAATCTCTGGACGAGAACGCGGTCAAGGAGCGGGATGACCGCCTTGATGGACTTGAATGTCGCCTGAGCAGCCTGCATCAATTCATAAGCCAGACGAACGGCCGCTTTGTACACGAGCTCCACGCACCATTGATGGGCGATACAAAGAGGAGGTGAACGTCAATAATAGAGAAAGAACGCGGCGGATGTGTGTGTGCGTGAGGGACGAGCGCTTCCTCCCAGCGATCACATTTTCTAACGACTCTATTTGTTCCGGACAAACAAAACCCGACCGAGGCCATGGAATGCTCTCGAAGTATGGCGACAGTCAAAGAAAATGGTATTGCGGTAGACTGTGTGGATGTGGGGTAAGTTGACTAGTTACATTGCAGAAGAGACAAACGACGATGGTCGATGCGGACAGTAGTAGAATGAGCGAAATACGGTCTGGGTAAAGTATCATTCCACCAGCAGCGATGGAACTTGAACAAGAAGAGTAAAAGAGGAGCGTAAGGACTCCTGCAACATATGGAAAATGACACATCGAGCGTGGTCCATTTTCATCCAATCACCATGTCCTCTCCACGTTCGGCCTCCAACGCCGTCCCCCTCGTCTCGCCCGCAGATGGCCCAACAACAGCAACGACAGGCGACGGGACAGCATTCAGCGTCGCCAATGTATCGTTTGGGCTGATGCTGATGTTCGACACCGCAGGACGTATCGCATGTGCTGGTGGTCGGGCAACGCCGATCTGATCAGCCAAACGCACATCCGTCACCATTGCCCGGACCAGTCGGTCGCGCTCGCGTTCACGTTCGTTCCTTCGAGTGATTCCGAAAATGCCAGGCGCCCCTGCTGCAGCAGCCATAGAGCTACCCGCTGCAGCCGAGCGCGAGCTTTCGCCGTGGTGTGAATGATGATGCTCTCCGTCTTCTTCGGGGTCCTTCGCGCTACACCAGAATCGATGTCCTTCACTCCACGCTGTACTCTGGCACTCCTTCCCGCAATACTTTGCCTTCCTACATCGGCGGCACTTGGCAAATTCGCGGGGATACGACTCCCAACGGCCGCACAGCACTGTGAATTCACACATCAGTACATCACTTACAGAAGAATCGTAATATACTCACTGTTCGCGCATTGCCGAATACCACCTCTAGTCTCGTCTTTCCTACAGGCATTTCGCATGATGACACCAGCCCAGTACTGAATCTCTGGAGGAAGCGAAGGCGGAGGGTTCGGCGAGTCGAGATCAGCCGAGCTATGGCGGAAGGTGAACCTCTCCACAAGCGAAAACACATTCGTCATGCGAGTGGGGGTATTTGGAGGAACAGCAGAGCCATTAGCGTTCGGCTCTGGCACCGCCGGCGCCTTTTCTTTCTCCTTTCCGCGGCCTGTAGCGGTATTGAAGACTTTCCTAAACGAGTTTGGCTCCTTAGTCGGGGTAGACGAAGTAATGGAAGCTTTGCTAGTGCTCGGCCCAGCGACAGGCTGCGCGAACCTGCCATCGCCAACCGGCAACTGAGCCGTCGCAGGATGGAAAGATGGACGCGGCTTGTAGAACGCTTGTCGGACATGTGGATACTTGCTGAGGTACGCTAGGAGCTGGAGGCTCAGCAGAACATCTTCATCTCTGTAGGGACCCGTATCTGTCTCCCGCATGTGATGATGCCCATGCGACGAGGCCGCAGCAGAGCCAGCCATGTTCGCCGCCGTCGGAGTGGCGTTGACAGCGCGGCTGGTACGTCCGCGCATTGTTCCGGTTTCGGTGGGAGCCGTCACCCGGACTGTTGTGGTGTTCGGCACGGGTGGGAGAGCAATGGGCACAGCGTGAGGCAAGTTGGCCGTGCCCGCGCGAGGCGTCCTCTCCCCTGGCCCGTGAACGTCGGAGACGGCGCGCGCTGCCGGTCCATCAATGGCTCCCGGAGCACCTGGCGGCGCGCCCATCGCAAAATCGTCGTTCGCTTCCAGAGAGACAAGACCGTCTTCCACACTAACCCCGTCCACCCCAACCCCGTTTTGCTCATTGATGATGATGTGAGCATCGCTGTTGATCTCGAGTGAGGCACCCGTCGTGTTGGTGGCTGCGTCCGAGACGATCCCAACAGCCCTCCGAGCATGCACAGCAGTGCCGCGAACGGTGCCTACACTGGCGATGGAGGCACGACGCTCGGGAGGAGGAGTACCGGAGATAGAGTGTTCGTCGACCTCGCGGCTGCTCTCGCGATCCATATCAACGTCTCCATCGTCCTCTGTCTCCGTTTCGGGCCTTGAATTGTCCGCAGAAGTCGACGTGGAGGCAGCCGCAGACTCTGATGCCTGGTGATGTCGAGTCCGATGACCTCGGCGATGGGCGTTGGTGGGAGCCGCCGCCTGATCCCACGTCGGGCGGGCGATGATGGTGCCGCTTCGGTCCCTTCCTGGAACAATAACAGCTCCAGTAGGGGTGTCCGTGCCGCCTGGTGTAACATTATTGGATGTCTCTGTCGATGTCCCTGTCGATATATCCGTCTCCTGTCGAGACGTCGGTGATTCTGTCTCCATAGCATTGTCCTATGAAATCCGTCAGCAACGTCCGCAATGAAGAAAGTGATGACCACCCCTTACTTCTCTGTTTGATGAGCTCGGTCCTCTCTCAATTCCAGAAGCGCGCTCAGCGTTGTTGACCTGCCTCTGGAGGGCCCTGGCCAGCGCATCTGCCTGTTCCTTCTGGCGAGCCTCCTGCTGGGCCAGCCGCCTCGCGTTTCTCTGCTCTCTAGTTTCGCGCGGCAAGCCACTCGCGCTAACGCTTGGCCCAACAGCGAACCCGTGGCCAGCAAGCCACGCCTCGAGGATGCAGCCCACAACATCAAGCGTCCCGGCCTGGACAACACGGCTCCTGATGGGCTCGCTCCCGCGAACCCCAATGTTGACAACGCACTGGAAGGCCAAGGTGAAACGATACTGCGCTTGTTTGTCGAACGACTTAGGGTTGAGGGTGGGAACCAACTTCGGAGGATGTGCAGACGATGGAGAGAGGCCGTAGAAAAGCGTCGGGTTTTCCGGGGGCGGCGGACACATGCAGAAATCGTGAAGTATTCGAACGAGGCGTTCGAGGCCGCCATCCATGGTCATGATCTCGCGAATGCGGGGTGATGTGGACGTGAGGTAGGTAAGATGGGTCAGCGAATTGAACAGCGGCAAGGGTGAGTTGGTATCGAGAGCTAAAGTGAACCGCATGAGCAATGAAGAGCCTCAATACCGCACATTGAACCCTACGCACCTCTTCTATCATAGAGCTGGGATGAGATGCAGACACATGCCCGATTCTGGACCGGGAAGGCGAAGTTGGATTCTCGCATAGTGCGAAAACGAATGGATGGTTAGATACGCAGCCGAGGATGTCTCAAGGTGTGAGCTTTGACTACGCGAGGAGAGTGTCCGAGCCTGGGTCGGCGGCGAAGTGGTTGGAGAGGTCGTCGTCGACGGTGTTGGTCGTCTGCCGCACAGGCGGTGCGATCTGACTGATGGTTATGTGGCACTATTTGCCCGGTGGCGTCCATGGAATTTGCGGCCCGCCCGCATTCCTTTTCTGGCTGGCATAGAGGCCGAGGCGCGCTCGATGACTAAGCAACTTCAGACGCCGACGTCTGCGCGGTGCAAGCGAGGAGTGTACACTCTTTCCTCACTGGAGCATGCACTCTACGTAACGATTGGAATAACTGTTGCAGCATGTATGCGCAATGGCATCTTCGCACTGCGATAGCTGAATGATTTTATGGCAGTTGTCCTGCTTTTCGATTGCGATATTACTGTTACAAGAATTCCTCGTCCTCCATGATCCATTGATCAATATCTTGATGCTCAAGCTCCGACATCTCCGTCCATCATTGGCATTCGCTGGTCGGCTCTCACACAGCTGCCTGCCTCATGCACCCCGGTACCTAGCATAGCTCCTGCCTCTTCCCTACCGCCAATGATCCTTCCGACTGCGTGAAATCAGCGCAGCAGAACCATTCTGGCTGTCAAAGCCACGACTAGGCGGCTCGTGCCTAAATTATTGCCGCCCTGCTGCGCATTAGTCTCGCTTTTCCTGTCCTGGAGCTCCCCGCCGATAGGACCACCGTTCACCGACTGCTCATTGAGACCAGACTCTGAGTCCGCCAAGAGGACGTTGTGAATGCGTCCTCGTTGCGCGGAGATGGCGAAAGTATTCTGCGAGCGGTAAGCATCAGATGGATCACCTATGTAGAGCAATATTCACCTCACGTCCGCCTAATCGGAAGGGAGCCAATAAAATTAACGCTTACTGTCATCCAGTGTGGCATCGAAGCAATGAAAAGGCGCGTCCAATATCTACATCGCTCTATAGAGTCATTCACCAACGAACCTTAAAAGCCGCTGCTGGCACGCTCGCCACTCAGGATGTGATATAGATGTACGGTTGTGAAGTGTACTGGTATGCGATGTCGCAACTCGGTCGCGTTGCGAAACGAACTGTACAGTAGTGCATGACGTCATGGAAGAACCCACAAATGGTCATCCAGTTGCCATAGGCAGCATGCGCATGAGCTCGTGGATGCAGACGACCGAGAAATTCAATATCCAGCCTCTGTCTACAGCAGAGTCGCTTTGCAGCACCTCGATATGATGCTGCTCGTTCATCAGCTTTTCGGAGGCACAATCTTGTACCTGGTGCAATTGACGCGCTTACGGCATCGGATTGCTCCCGTGGCATCAAGTTACGTGGTCAGATGTGCCAAATCATTGCTATCTTCCTCACGATGCATCATCACAGGACACTATAGTCTCTGCGGAAGCGAGGCAGCAGCTGCGCCTTTTGTCACGTAAGGGAGCATGTCGATCGCACTTTCGTTCCATGTGCAGCCATCGACGCGTCACGGGTGATCGCCAACTGGACGCGTCGTGACCGTGTACTCACTAGCACTCACTGCTCGCTGCTGCGTCCGTCATCTGATGCATGCCGTGATCCATCAACCAATGCTAACCCATCCATCAACATTCCTCGTTATTCGACTCTCTCGCTCAATCAACACTAGGGCTGATGCATGATATGTCTGGACTAACATTTTTGCTTCGCTCGTTTTCTTCTGCAGGCCCCATGATTGTCACCTGAGCACGTCTAATGACCTCTGCTGATGCTGCAGCCCATTACCCGGATCTCCTGCCAACTCGACGAGGTGAGTGTTAAACGTACTAAATGATGGACACGGCGGCTTAACTGGACTGTACACCGCGCGAATCTCCCCAATCGCCGTCTGATTGCTGCTCTGCCACCACTCTGTCCATCATGTCCCAGGTGACTCACGTCAGACTGGCTCAATCGCTCCTCAGAAGCACACATCCGTCGCGTTTTGGTCTCGTAGCGTGTCGGGCGGGCTTCTCCTCCTTCGCTATAGCCAGATCAGCAGGCGACTCCCCTTCCGGCGTATCCAGCCAAAAGCAAAGGACGATCCTGCCTGCATACGCGCCGGTCGGAGTCGCCGCAGCACGGGCGGCTTCTCCATCCTCTCGTACGTACCCAGAGCAGCACCGCTGTTCACTCGCCACGCAAGTGCTGACGGTGTACTGCGCTCCGACCGCTCAGCTGCGACGCCCACGCTATTCGAAAAGGAGTTCTCTCTCTCCGACCGCGTCGCCCTCGTTTCAGGCGCGAACCGCGGTCTTGGTCTCGAGATGTCCATGGCCCTCGTCGAGGCCGGGGCGCGTGTCGTCTACTGCCTCGACCTGCCTCAGACGCCCGGCGATGAGTTCGACCAGGTGAAGCGGTACGTCGGTAGGATGGAGGGTAAGGGGAGACTCGAGTACGTCAGCGCCGACGTGCGCGACCAGGTAAGGGCGATATAGCCTGCCGAGGCGGTTTGCGTTGTGTTATGGTGGCTTATCAGTCTCGCGGCGCAGGAGGCTCTGTGGAAGATTGGCGAGTCTATTGGTGAGAAGGAGGGCCGTATGGATGTATGCATCGCTGCGGCGGGTATCATCAAGCCTGACCACGACTGCCTCGACTACCCAGCTCAGACGTTCCAGGACGTGCGTGTCTCTTCCTTCCCTGTTAGCTCTTGAGCAACGGTTTCACGCACCTTTTGTTAGGTCATGGACGTCAACGTCAACGGCGTACTCTACACCGCGCAGGCGGCCGGGCGGCAGATGGCCCGCTTTGGGAACGGCGGTAGCATCATCCTCATTGCCAGCATGAGCGGGAGCATCACCAACATCGTGCGTACTGATCTTCCCTCCGCTTGCCATTTGCATTTGCGTGGCATTAAATGTCTGATCTCCCTGCGTATCCTTTTCACAGCACCAGAACTGGGTGTCCTACAACACCTCCAAATCCGCCGTTCTCCAAATGGGCCGCAGCATGGCTTGCGAGCTCGCCCCGAAACACATCAGAGTGAACACCCTCAGCCCGGGCTACATCTACACCACGTGCGTAGCGCCTTCATCCCCCTCCGACATACACCGTACACCACATCTCACATCGAGACCTCACGGGTCTTTGACCTTTCGTCGACGTTGACAGTCTCACCGCGGGATTCCTCGACTCCCAGCCAGGTTTGAAGGAAAAATGGTCCAGCCAGAACCCGCAAGGACGCCTGGGACGGCCCGACGAGCTCAGGGGTGTCGTTACCTGGTTAGCGAGCGATGCCAGTACCTATTGCACCGGCAGCGAGTGAGTGTCCATCTGTTCTCTCCCAAAAGAGCGTTCGCTTATTCATACACGTGTGCAGCATCATCGTCGATGGCGGTCACCGCGCCTGGTAGCGATAGTTTCGTTGTGCAGGCTTTGTGTGCGGCCAGCATATCCACAGAAACATCGTAGCGTACGTATCATTATGGCATGTGCTCGAGCCTTCGTCGCATGTCACCGAGCGCCAAAAGTCGCATCACTTGCATTTGCATGATTATCTCCTCTTGTCCCACAATCGCCCATGTCAATGATACTTATTGCTCGTGTAGATTCCGACCAGTTGCCATAGGCAGCATGCGCATGAGTTCGTAGATGCAGACGACCGAAATTGTAAATGACGTCCGATATCCAGCCACTGTCTACAGCAGAGTCGCTTTGCAGCACCTCGATGCGATGCTGCAGTGCTCGTTCACCAGCTTTTCGTAGGTATGGTCTCGTACTCCGGTGCGATCGACGCGTTTACGGCATCGGGTTGCTCCCGCATCAAGGTATGTGGTCAGCTGCGCCAAATTGCTATCTCCCTCATCAGGAAAGCTCAAATCCGGCTTATGATGCTTTTACCCGCTTGCCGTCACCAAAAAAGACAATAAGTCCTAGAAAGTCTCAGGACCTCCTTATTTTGACTTTTCTCTGGCTTGAGAGCTTCTTATCGCGCGCTTATTGGCTTGTACAAGCCAAAACCAGCGAGAACAAGTCAAAAAGGAGTTTCTCGAACCGCAAGCCGAGTTGAGTTTTCCTGATGGCCTCACAATGCATCATCACCAGACGCTGTAGTCTCTGCGGGAGCGAGGCGCCCGCTGTGCCTTTTGTCTCGGAAAGGAGAGTACTGTTCGCTGCTGCGTCCGTCATCTGACGCACGCCACGGTGATCCATCATCGTCCAATGCCAATCCGTCAATCAACATTCCTCGTTATCGGACTTTCTCACTCAATCAGCACCAGGAATGTATCTGGACTAACATTTTCGTTTCGCTCATTTCCCTCTGCAGGCCCCATGATCATCACCTGAGCATGCCTAATGACCTCTGCTGATGTTGCAGCCGTTACCTCGGTCTCCTGTCAATCTCGACGAGGTGAGTATAAAACGTATTAAATAATGAGCACTGTTGCTTAACTGGATTGTCCACCGCGCGAATCCCCCAAATCTCCGTCTGATTCCTGCTCTGCCATCACTGCATCCATCATGTCCGGTGTGGCTCCCGTCAAATTGACCCAATCGCTCAGAAGTACACGTGTATCGCGCCTCGGTATCGTAGCGTGTCGGGCAGGCTTCTGCTCCTCCGCTATAGCCAGATCAGCGGGCGGCTTCCCTTCCAGCGTATCCAGCCAAAAGCAAAAGACGTTCCTGCCACCCTACGCGCCGGTCGGGGTCGCTGCAGCACGGGCCGCATCTCCATCCTCTCGTACGTACCCAGAGCAGCACCACTATTCACTCCATCGCAACCGCTGATGGTGTACTGCGCTTCGACCGCTCAGCTGCGACGCCTACGCTATTCGAAAAGGAGTTCTCCCTCTCCGACCGCGTCGCCCTCGTCTCAGGTGCGAACCGCGGCCTCGGTCTCGAGATGTCCATGGCCCTCGTCGAGGCCGGGGCGCGCGTCGTCTACTGCCTCGACCTGCCTCAGACGCCCGGCGACGAGTTTGAAAAGGTGAAACGGTACGTCAGCAGGATGGAGGGTAAGGGGAGACTCGAGTACGTCAGTGCGGACGTGCGCGACCAGGCACGTGCGATACTTCCTGCCTGTCGCGGCGGTTTGCATTGTGTTGTAATGGCTTATTAGTCTCACGGTGCAGGAGGCTTTGTGGAAGGTCGGCGAGTCCATCGGTAATAAGGAGGGCCGCATGGACGTATGCATCTGCGCGGCGGGCATCGTCAAGCCCGGCCACGACTGCCTTGACTACCCAGCCCAGATGTTCAACGACGTACGTCACGGTGTCTTCCCTCCCTGCCGCTGGAATTTGAGCAGCGGCTCGACGCGACCCTTGTTAGGTCATGGACGTCGACGTCAACGGCGTACTCTACACCGCGCAGGCAGCCGGGCGACAGATGGCCCGCTTTGGGAACGGCGGTAGCATCATCCTCATTGCCAGCATCAGCGGGAGCATCACCAACATGGTGCGCACTAATCTTCCCTCCGCTTGCCATTTACATGTGTATGACATTAAACGTCCTACCCCTTGCATCCCTTTCACAGCACCAGAAGGTGATATCCTACAACACTTCCAAGTCGGCCGTCCTCCAAATGGGCCGCAGCATGGCCTGCGAGCTCGCCCCGAAACACATCAGAGTTAACACCCTCAGCCCGGGCTACATCTACACTGCGTGCGTAGCGTCCTCTTCCCCCCTTCCCCTCCTCCGTACACCACACATCACACCAAGACCTCGCGCGTGTTTGACCTTTTATCAACGTTAACAGTCTCACCGCGGCCTTTATCGACTCCCAGCCAGGCCTGAGGGAGGAGTGGTCCAGCCAGAACCCGCAAAATCGTTTGGGACGACCCGACGAGCTCAGGGGTGTCGTTACCTGGTTGGCAAGCGATGCCAGCACCTATTGCACCGGCAGCGAGTGAGCATCCATCTGTTCTCTCCCAAAAGAGCGTTCCCTCATTCATAATTTACACACGTGTGCAGCATCATCGTTGATGGCGGTCACCGCGCCTGGTAGCGATAGTTCTGTTATGCAGGCTCCGTGTGCGGCTACCATATCCATAGAAAACGTCGCAGCATACTTATCATTGTATTCATGCATCACATACCTAACGTTCCAATGAGCTTCATCGCATGTTACGTAGAAAGCAGGAAAGATCCTTTTGCTACAACTGAGCGACTATTCATACAGGGGTACTTTACGTTCGCTACACATAAGCGATGCAAAAGTGAAAGGAAACTGAAAAAAAACAAAGCGTTGGAAAGTAGCTACGTACAAGGAGTATGGCGCTCGAGACGGCAGACACGGGTATGCGTACGGTATACTACATCTGAGATTCAACATGCAGCGTATCAGAGCGTTCAAATTCCCGACATCGCCGCCGCCATTACGACAAGAGCCAAGTACAATAGTCATCGCGCAACGGTAGGTTATTCTCCAGTGCGCATATAAGAACTTTTAAAGAAAATCCGCGTCCTAAAATCCGCGTATCAGCGAAAGTGTGCGCTGTTTAGGTACCCGATTCCTCTGCGCGCCGCAAGGGTTGCATGGCTTGCATACCCGTCATTGGGTAGCTTGACCTACGTTGACGATCCAACAATCCCACCACCGAGCGGTCGTACGCGCTACCAAGCCTGTTGACATCGGAGCTACCCCGCTCCGTAGAGGTCGACAACGACTGCCGCTGGCCAAGGTCGCCATCGTCATCATCATCATCAACCGCATCATCGTCCCAACCCGCTGGACCCAGCAACGCGCGCTTGCTGTTTTCAGGCCCGAGCGTCTGCGATGCGAGTCGCTTGAACGATGGCCGAAATGAAGGGTCAAAGTCATGGCCGGCGTCGCTGCCAACCACTGTGCTGGACGCAACGGAAGGAGGCCGCATACCACTAGGACCAGATTGAGACGGAGGCCGAGAAGTGGCCTGCTGTGTCTGCGGATGGGCATTGCTATCGGTCGCACCGAAAGCGTGAGCGAGGGAAGAAGAGTTCGATGCAGTCGATGAGGGTCGGTTAAGGAGATCGGGAATTTTGTTCGACATGAACGGAGGCGGCGGCGGCGGGAGATGCGGGGCTACAGGGCTTGCATTCACGCTCGAACTAGCTTTAGCGTCCGAACTTTGCTGTTGCTGCAGGATAGAACTAGTTGCACTAGCTCTCGGTGGCATTGTCCCTCTGCGCTTGGGTACAAGGTTCAAGTTCATCGGAGCCCTGCGAGCAAGCACCGCCTGCTCATAGCTCTTCAAATCGTCTCCACCGTGGAGAGTTGTGCGAATCGAGGAGAAAGCATTGGCATTTGCATTTGCATTTCTGTCTCGCTGGTCACTCTCATGCTCAGAGTGGGGAAACTGCATATTGCGAGAACCGTCATTGCGTGTGCCGTCATTGAATGCAAAACGGCTTAAAGGTGGTAATGCACCGGAATTGACATCCGACAATAATGGAGGCGTCTTCATGCTCGGTAACGAGGCAACACGGGAATGCCGCCGCGACGGCGACGGCCTCGAGCCCAGCGTCTGCCCCGGGCCCGTCGGGGTTGCCAAAGACAGCATATTCGCGCTGCCCGGGCCGCTTAGCGGCGTGCGTACGTACATCTTCCAGAAATCGCGCATCTCCTTCGAGTCCATGTCATTTTTGCCTGCTTTCAACGCTGAAAGTATATCTTGCGTCGGCGTCGCGAAATTGAGACTGCTAGTACCGCCCGCGCCGGGCGTCATGTTCGAGAAGAAAGGAGCCGAATCTGTAGAGAGCCCCGCAAGGACATTCGGGTCATCCAGAGACATGAGTCCGAATGCGGACGAGAAGCCTCCCTCACCCTGTCCATCGTTTTCAAAACTGCCGCTATACTCGTGCTTGTGACCTATATTGTGTGGGTTATTGCCTGCATCCTGGGCGGCGTCAAAATGCGAGAACTCTCGAAGAGCGAACGATTGCCGTGCCTGCTGCTGTTGAGAATCAGGAAGCGGAAGATGTACACTGCTGGACGCTGCACTGCTCGGGATCGAGTGCGAACGTTCGTTACTGCCAGCATCGCTTCCAAAGTCGTCGTTTAAGTCGTCCGAGTGGCGTTGAAACCCTACGTCTCCGGAGTAGCCGCCCGCGCCTCCGACAGTGGAGGATAAGGGCGGAAACGTTGCACCGTGCGTGGTAGGATGGGCCTGAAGCGTTGGCTCCCCGGAGCCTGTTGCAATTCTTCTCTCGCGCGTATGAAAGGGCTGTCTGTATGCTGGGTCGTATTCCTTATCGTGCTCGTCCACGCCCTGAAAGGACTGCTGAGTGTGCGCATCATTAGAGTGCGCCCACGAGGCAGCCGGCATCGGCAGTGAGAACCGGTTGAAATGGGACTGGGCGTGCGGATCGGAGCTGTACAGTGTGTTCGCGGACATGGCGTTATCTGCGGCTGGCGGCGCACCGGAGCCCATAACGGCGAGAGGGCCATTTAGAGCGTTGGCACGAGACAGGAGCTCAGCTTGTGCGTGATATCTGGCCATTACATCAGAGGAGGAACTCAGCGAGTCACGGGTGCTCGCAGACAGCGTCATGGAGGACGCAGGCGACTGATGAGGATCAGAAGGGTTGTAGCCATACAGCGTGGTTGAGGTCGGGGGCAACGTGTATTCAGTGCCGGCATTCGGCGCATACATGGATGGGAACGCGAATTGAGTCTGGGGAGGACCGAGGATGAAATCGTCAGAAAGGCGAGAAGAACCGGCGATGGTAGTGCGGCTCGGCTGAGAAAGTTGGTTCGGGACGGGATGGCCTGGGCCCTGAGGCGCAGTTTGTCGATGGAACTTGACGTAAGTGCATCGACACTTGCGCTGTACGCACTTTGCTGAAAGAAATGGACGTAAGCCTCTGTCGAAGACAGTAAAGGGGGGTTGGTGAAACGCATACAGCAGGGATTAGCGCCGTCACAAGGCAGACTGGACTGAACGCATTGGTCGCAAGCCTGCTTCGAGGTAGTTGCACGGGAGGCCGCAGCGGAACCCTTGCGCCGGTTTGGAGCAGTGGTGGTGGGGGGTTTCTCAGAGGCATGACACTTGTTAATGTGTCTCGAGAGCAAATCGCTAGATAGGGAGGATAAAATCCACAGCAGTGAAAAGCGGTAGGACATACAAAAGACATGAGTCTCACCTTCGCGCGAACTGATCTCCACAGTGCTGGCACTTGTAGGGGCGATCACCGGTATCTATGGAGAAGATGAGCATCGGCAAGGAAGTAAAAAGGGGGTGAACAGCGCCTAGTGTGCGGAGAACTCCACGCCGGGGAGGGGGCCGGGGCGGAGGCGGAGCTGGGCTGGAGAATGTGGTGTATACTCACGGGAACGCATATGCCTAGCGACATGCTGGGGACGGGTGAAGGTAGACTGACAGACGGGGCACTGCCAGAGGCGACGGTGAGGAGACATCGTCGACGACGCGGAGAACGATGACGGGACGCACCTTGTGATCGCCAGCCATGATGGTTCGGGCAGAGAGTGGGGTGGAGGAAGTGGTGGAGAGAAAGCAAAGTGTAAAAAGGGAAGCGTGATACAAGTGGGTCATAAAGACGCCGCCGCCCATTCACCATCTGAGTCGTGATACGCGAGTGACGTCATTGCGTTATCATGGTCACACTGGCACTGCATACACGCGTCATGGTTGCCGTGACAGTCACATTTACCGAAAATTTAAACATGGTGATATACATAGTAATGCCTCTCTCATACTGGATATGCCCGCGGCGCGACGGAAGAGCCTGCGGGGAGAAGTGCGGGCAGTAGCTGCGGAGTCGCCGGGCGTTGCGGGGCCGATGACATCATCGGTCATTTACGTGAGATGGTTGCTGAGATCAACCCGCTAGAAAGAGCGGTTGCGTCATTATGCACCGTCAGCGCGCAGCCACCGCCACAGAGCCGGAGTCCCGTACCTTGGAGCCGCGATGGGCACGAACACCTCTGCCTTGGACCTGTGCCACACCATCCATTACCATCGTCAGCATTCGCCCTTTGTCGGCACCGGTAAGCATCACGCGTGGGAATGCGCGCCAAGCATCCCATCAATAGCGGACGGCGACCACCCCGTCCGTGACCGGTTGACCGCTCATGCGAATCACCCCAGTCTCACACTGATCGCGTTCGGGTTCTTCGTCCAATCCTCGACGCCCGCGGACGCACCCCAGACGTAGCCCTCCTCACGCGCCCTCCTCCTTATTGGCCCCCGCGCACGCAACCGCTCCCGTACTTCAACGCCATATACAAGAAAATTTCCGGGCAATCAATCGCTTCCTCCGTCCAACAGACTTCGCCCCCCGAGATGCCATCTCACCATATGCGTGTCACGCTTCTGGCCGAACATGGCAACCCCTCCAACCGTTTAACCACCATACGAAGCCGGAAGTAAGAACACCGTCTCGCTCTCCCACGTAAGTCAGGTGCCAAGGAAGCGAGCGCAATTTGCGCCGCTTCTGCATTCGAACCCCCGAGGCAGCCATCGGTAACCGAACGTCACCTTCGCGACTTCCTGCCTGTGCTTCCAGCGCCCGATGCCTGCTAGAAGCGATCACTGCAACCCTGAAACCCGACGCTTTCGGCAACTTCGATTCTCAACAAAGTATGATGCGCAGCACGAAGCAGGGTCACGACGAGAGATGAGATAGAAAAAACGCAAGAATAGACTCAACGGTGTCAGGTTATCCACCCCAATATACCGCATGTCCACCGGGATGTAGTGTTTGTTAGGCAGCGTGTACGTCACGCTCTCCACGTATGGGTTCTCCGCGATTATCTGCTGCGCCATCTTGTAAAGAGTCGCCTATATCGCGTTCACGACAGCATCAATTCACATACGGCGACTTTCGCTTAACCGTCGCACACACCTGGACGCTTGCGCTCTCATCTTCGGCGAATACCTCAAGCGTAATCTTCCGCGCGCTTCTCGCGACCGTCTCCGCTTCCCACGGCGTACCCTTTCCTGTGGCCTCTCCTTGGACATTGACTACAATCTTCTTTTCATCCGTGGGCGGAGGCACGGCGAACGGCTTGTAGACGTAGCTCAGATCGATCGAGGTGCTAAAGATGCGGTCGTTCACTTCGGCCAGCGTCGTGTACTCGTCTCTGACGAACGACTCGAAAGCGGAACCGGTGGACTTGAGTACTATGAAAGGCAGATTAGGCTCATGCAATATAGCGAATCAACACAAACACATACCTAGCAAGTCGGTGATCCCAGAAGTGACCTTCGCGATAATCTTGTCCTTGCCTCCAGTCGCATCGAGCTGCACCACCACATGTCAATAAACCCAGACGCATACAGGGCCCAACTGGTGCCGCGAGACTATACTTGCACATACCTCCACGCTCGTCACTCTCTTATCCTCGCCGTCGCGGTAGAAGGAGTGCGGATGCAGCTTGACCTGCTCCTGTCCCTCCGCACCCTTCGTGATCGGAATACGCGCCCAGCGCAGCTTCTCGACGGTGACGAACGCCTTATGGAGATGAGCATACTTGGAGAGGATATGCGTTCCAAGGTGAATGGCGAAGCGCTCCGGAACGAGAATGTGCGGGGAGGTCTTTGCGAGGTCTGGCTCAAGGAGTGAGTGGTCGAGTCCTTGCACGCTCGGGAGGATCGTGCTTACAATAGGTGATGTTCTTCACTATATGCGCGACAAAGAGGCACAGCGTATGAGCAGATTGTATTGAGATAGGCAAGGAGGATAAGGTGACGTACTAGAGTCAGTGGCGACCACGACCGAGTTGTCGGCCTTCGTGTAACTTCACGGACGGAATAAGGGAGTTTCCTCAGCCAGTCTGCGGGAAACGAGAGGCCAGCCTCATTCGCAGAGCATGTACATACCTGACATCAATGTCGCCCTCCACGAGCACGGTAACGTTGTATTCCACGACATGGTGAAACGCACCCTCGCGCACAATGCGGAAGACGCGCACCTTGTCCTTGCCGTAGCGAGCGTGCGAGAGGTAGGATTCGGTGGAGGCAGACATAGTGATGGCTGGCAAGCAGAGACTGAGCACAAGATGGCGCAGATGTGATGAGCAGTACGGGGACCGTCAACGATAAAGCTTCAGCGGAATTTATGGTACGCGCGGGCGTTCACAAGACGTTCTCCAGCTGGCCTCGAGCAGCCTAGCTGAGCGGGACATCGCTCCGCCATACAGCCCAGCAGGACGAACGATAAGATAAGCCACTGCAGCGGCCAACAGGGTACAGCGCACGACTCAACTGGGCGCTCGATCGACGATCGCCCACCACGGGGACTCCCGTCTATTCCCGGCAGCCCGCGTTTTCTCGTCACCACTGTCCCCGTCGACGCCCAGCGCGCCGTTCCATCATCTCAAAATCTATTCGCACACTCCGTGCCTCCTGCTAGCCATTCAGTATGGTGCGCGCTCCCGTACCTTTCCGGCTCGCTCAGGCGATGCGCGTCCGTCGTATGCCCGCGCAGCAGCAGCGTTTTGCCTCTAGCTCGTCGGGGAGCAGCGAGAAGGCTCAGGAGACGTTGGCAAAGGTACAGCAGTATGCTGGATCTGCTGTTGAGGTGGCCAGAAAGGTGTTGGGTCCTGTTGGAGAAAAGGCCGGGAATGCGCTTGGAAGTGAGTGGTGTTGATTCTGTTCGTTTTGCAATGATCCCGTCCTCGCTGTTCAGCTCATGACTGTCTGGCCAGACAGTCCAATAGAGATACTGGCGGTGTTCTGTGCGTTTTTGTAGTAGCGATTTGCTGATGCCGGAACCACAGCGTACCGGCAACCTATCCTATACAACCTGTCTGTCGCACGCGAATTCCTAAAACAAGTTTACGTCGCAGAACGTCTGCAGCCCCCGACATCCCTCAACTCAGTAGTCAACGCATACTCGACGCTTTGGTACCGTGCGGGAAAAGCGTCGTACTGGCGCGAACTACTACAGTCGGGCGAGTGGGCAAAGATCGGTGTGTATGCGGTTGAGGCGTACGGTATCTTCAAGGTGGGTGCTCCTGAGAGTGACGTCCACAGTGTACTAAAGCTGTCTCCGTGCATTCCTATCTATCAAATGATACGTTCGACGCTGCTATAGATCGGAGAGATGGTTGGTCGTAGGAGTCTGGTTGGCTACAAGGTGGAATAGAGGGGCTTTCCATCGCATATTGTGCAGGGGCCGTCCTTCGTTTGAATGCTATGTGCCCTCCTGTAGAGTCGATAATCATAACGGATTCCCAAAACAGTATGATGGCGTGACGTCAAGCGGGAGTATGTGGCAACAGTATCCGCTTGTGCCCCCACCTCAAAAGCCAGACCCCCCAATCCAACCACCGTATCTCCTCCTCTCCATATATCCCCGACCCTCTCGTCGACCAGGACTTTCGTTAAAGTATCATACCTAACTCACGTCTCGCCATGTCGAGCGACGGCCGCTCGCTATCGCGTGCGACTTCGGTTTCACGAGCAAGCAGACGCTCCTCGCTCTCTCGCACCCAGTCCTTGATCAAGAAGAATATCGCTCCGCATGATTTACGGCCCTCAGATATTCTCATCGAGCGCTTCACTGCGTGGAAAATTATTGTGAATCAGCTCATCGCCTATTTCGAGGGCATCGCCGACATCCAGAACAATGTTGCTCGCGAGATGGCCAAACTCGCCGGCGTGATTCAGGTTCCGTTCCGCTCGGGCAATCAATTTTTAGGAGAGGGGGGTCTTCAGGTGCGTCGCACGATACAGCATAAGAGGCCTAGAACAGACAGTGGGTGCAGGACATATATTACGGCATCCGAGACAAGACACGCGCTATCGCAGATGAGCAGGCAAATCTGGGGCGTACTGTGGAAGGCTCGATTGTGCAGCATCTCGAGAAGCTTCGCGTGGAGATCAAAGCGCATATTAAGGTGAGTCTGTGACGGAGTGATCGTCATCTCCTACTCACAGCGAAGGGTAGAATGTACAGAATGACACCGGAAAGCTCGCCACGGCAGTAGCAAAGGAGCGCGAGTTGTCTGCCAAGTTGGTCGGCGACTTGGGCACGAGCGTATCGATCTTAAAGAATACGCCGCTCCACATCACTCCAAGGAGCGATCCCTACGTCGCAAATCAGGTCGTCGCTCGACAGCTCGTCAAGCAAGTTCACACCGAGAACGCATTGCAGAAGTCTTTGCTTCTGACGCAGTCTTCTTCTGCTCTTTTTGAAGCGTCTTTGGTACAAGCTCTCCAATCAGCGTGGGGGACGTTCGCCGAGTGGCGGACACGCATGGACGACAGCATTCGCGAGATATGGGGCACGCTCGAGCACGACATGTCAAGTCTACCTCCTGATCGCGAGTGGATCGCGTTCGCCGCTCGAGAAGACCATCTAGTCGACCCGGAGACACCGCTGCGCGATCCCCAGAACATCCACTACCCGTCCAAGGATGATCCGTCCGTCGTCGCTGTGCACACCGGACTGCTGGAACGCAAGAAACGATACACACGCTCCTATCGGGAAGGCTACTATGTGCTGACGCCGGCTGGATTCCTGCACGAGTATGCGTCTTCAGATCCTGCACTCGTTGATAAGCCTATCTATAGTCTATTCCTTCCCATGTGCACCCTCGGGCCACCGTCTGCACCGAGCGCGAAGAGTCACAAATTCCACATCGAGGAACGCACAGACGGCACAGGCTCGATCAAGACTGGATCCTTGCGTGGTCTTACCAGCTCAATCACTGGCCGAGGCAGTGGAAGCGGACGGGCCTGGGCTTTCCGTGGGCGCTCGCACGAGGACATGATGGAGTGGTGGAATGACATTCGGATGTTATGTGCTAGGTATCTGGTCGCGAGCGAGCAGATGGAGCGCAGCGGTCCTGTGGCTGCAGCTGTTAGGGCGGCGGGATATGCTAGCGAGGAAGAGATGGAGGAAGAGGAAGGGTCCAGCGTAGAAGAAGAACGAGAAGAAGAAGAACAATATGAGCAGGCTCCGGATATTGCTGACGGAGACATGGACCAAACGGAGGTGCCGGAGCGTACGCGCGAGTCGAGAGAGCCCGTGTCCTATGAAATGAGGGAATATCCGGTGCGCATACAAACTTGAGACAGAGTGAATAACGGGACTGATTCAATTGAGTAGACGGAGAAGAAACCTGCGACGAGTCCACCGCTGACGAATGGGGCCGCCGGGGTCGACAATACGCGCGGACCGAGCAAGCGGCAGTTGGAGAAAGCTCCGCAGGGGCGACATCCGAATGAGGTGTCCAACGGTGATGCTGAAGTGGGATCTATCGACAATGAATCACCGGACAATGCCACTGCTGGACCGGCACCAGCGGAGAGTCGCTTTACTGAAGGCTTGTAACGTTACGATGTGTATGAAGTCTTGTGTTGCACGTCGAACTGACAATTAGGACAATTTTGTTATATCCTGTTACCCCTCTGAGTTACTTTATAGCAGAAGCCTTCCATAATGTTTAGTGTGTTTTGGTTAGCACAGTTATCGCCGGTTCTGACTATGGGCCAATACCGTTGACATTATACGAATACAGATTGGCATGTACGCGTTTGCAGACACGGTCCCTTTTTTTGACTTTTTCCCAGCTTGATGGCAGGCCGCAGCGCACTATGGCATCCAATGATTTGAAGCTATGCGAAGAGACAAAACGATACTTGGTATTTGGGTAGCTATCAGATCGGAGTGCAAGCTCATGTGTGGTCGCCATTTTAACAAAAACGGTATACTTGCAAGCAATTGATGCCATGTAGTATTTATACGTGCCTTTATCGGACACTGGATGCCGTTCTTCATTTCGAGTCGCACCGGAATACAAGGCAAGCCAGCAAGTGTAGGTAGACGGTGTTCAACAAGACAATCGACGACGTTTCTCGTCTCTGGACCACGTCATGGCTCTTGACCTCAGCAAATATTGGCGTTTCACGTTTACCCTGTCCAGCCATTCATTGTTTCGAATGGTCAACAATGATAGCTTCTGGCGACGTCCACTGTCCGCTGTCCATATGCTACGCCGTCAAATCGCCTCCTTTAGCAAACGCGGCACCTTTGACACCCGTTTCAACCTGCCAGGTTCGATAGAAACCCTCGCATGGTCCACATGTGCACATGGATGATTATGCCTTGTAAGTTCGCTGTGTGATGATGTCCGAATCCAATGGTGCCCCTGGGAAGGCTTAAGTAGTAACGGGCTGAAATAGGTTCTTTGACGCCATCATGGTCTTGTTGACCGCAGACTTCTCCTTCAGTATTTTAGTCTCAGTCTCACATTCTCCGAGGCAGAACGGTGTTGATGTGCCCTTGATTTCAGATTTATCTACATCTCTAGCATAGCCACGATCAACGACAAGTTCGGGGCTATAACGCAGGGAATGAATACATACCGCAAAATTTCATAAACCCATATCGAGTTCTCACCGAGCTTACGTTGCATTTCGTCTTGAGAAATAGAGACGGTCAGGAATGCCTCAGGAGAAATCAATTGCAACCGACCAAGGCTTATCATGCTGCAACTGTAAGATCAGCAAATTTATCAAATGTACGCATTCATGAGACATACAGGAGATCACCAACCGTTGAACTTTTAAGTATCGTTCTCTTCTGCCATGGTTTTCCCCAATTGCCCGCCGAGAAAGAAGGGATATGGCATCACAAGAGGATTCCGAGCACGCATGTTGCCTAACCGACCTTCTGAAATGGGTCGGTTTGAGATAATTGGGTATCGCAGCAGTGTGGAGAATTTTCGAATTGGTGGGTTAACACTGTGATTCATTGAACGACCCCCGCGCATGCCTGACTGTTTGGCTTCTTGTACGAGGCAATCAGCTATCTGATACATCAGAAGAATCATCATCGCTGTCACCAATCGCATCTCACTTTGGCCGAGAATTTGTTCCTGGCGATACCCTTTAAAATCGGCCAGAATCAAAAAATAGAATCGATGCAGAGAATTTTGTAAAACTCACAGCTGAGGTCGTATAACCAAGCGTTCGATGAATGTCGCTTCCAATTTTGCCCATGAGCTCTACTGCGATGAACAGCAAGGTAGCGTCCTCGGTGATATCGCCATCATCTTTGCAACCGTAAAATCTTGTCCGTTCGTCGCTTAAACCAGGCTCGGAGAGTCTCTAGCTCCCAGACGGACCTGTTCACACGCTGTGTAGAACGCGTCGCAGTCACAAAGCGCAACAACGTGGTGTGGGTCCTTCTCGTCCAGGTTGTGAGACAGAAGATGTCGATATACGATGACTGGATTGAGATCGGTGAACTCTGACTCTCTCGCCTTGGCTTTGCCCTTCCATACCAACGAAACCAGTTTACTTTGTGCACCACTTGCCATTGCTGCGTATTAATAAGGTAGAATCAGAGCCCCACGCGGGCTTGAGCACGAACAAAACGCTCTGCTGTTACCTGCTCATGGATCTTAAACCGCAACCACCATCTGCTTCGACAAGCGCCCGGGCTCCGTCCCCTGCGTCGTCCTCCTCCTATGAAGACCCCTCCTCTCACCTCCCCAACTTCACCCTGGCTATCCGTCAGGCTCTCCGGCCGTGGCAAAATCAGGGACCATCTGATGCCTTGCACGACCTGGACTCCATCGTCGATGCCTTTTATGCGGTACAGCAGACCATGGTCATGGCTCTCATTAAGGCAAATGGGACAGCCGTGAAACTGGGCAACCCCCTCATGGAGAAACGCATGGCCACTGTGGTCGCCATCGCCAAATCCACTATCAAGCCTCCTGCACCTCCTGCACCCACCTCTTCAACCCCTGGACCTGACCTCACAGCGGCCCTCCAGGACCTTCGCTCCGCCCTCGACGCCAGGCTCGATGCCTT